CGACAGTTTTAACCTTAAATTTTTGTACGGGATGACGTTCAACCATTGGGAGCCAAATCTATCTTGGAACGCGTTGAACCTTTTTACGTCCGTTGGTTCGAGTCGTAAAATCAAGTCTGCAATTTCGCTGTCAAAAATTGGCTCCGTCCAATTTTTTTGGATTTCATTTTCCGGAGCCATTTCAGTTTTTCCAAGGTCAAACCACCGTTCAAGCGCATCATCATAGGTTCCATCCACATGCTCCAAACCAAAGATTTCGCTCAAGGCGTCTTTCGCTCCTACTGCTGAGGGTAAGAAAGCGGGTAAAGCGAAAAGATGAGCGGAAGAAACGCCCAAGCCACCTTTGGCTGCCGGGAGAACTGCTTGTAAGAACTGATTATCATCCATTTTCACGTTAGTGACCTTGCATAACGAATTTCTTAGTAATTTATCGTAACGTTCCAAAAAATCATTTTGCAAAAAACAAGGGCTCGTACGCAAAAAATATAGGAGTTTTGGCATGCTAAAGCAATTTTTCAGGAGGTAAAAACCATAATGGGCGTCTAGTTTGTCAATGACATCCGAGATTTTTTCAAGCTCCTTAATTTTTTCGTCGAGCAATTCTTTTCGGCAAAGTTCGCCGATTGGAGATCCTAAAATGAGGAGTTCTTCTTTTGTTTTTATTTTTTTTTTGGGGCATAATTTTCGAAGTTTTGCTAAAATTGAATTATACTGTGTACTAGTAGTCGGTCCCAAAAAACAAAGTTCACACTTCTCAGTGTTTAAGCTCAGGCCGTAAATTTGTTCCGATTTCAGAATGTTTTTAAGGTCCCGGAGTACTATCTTATAGTCGTCGGCTAAATTCCCATCATCTAAATACCAGATGTTAATTTTCGACTCCAACTGTTTGACTAGTGTATGAATTGTTTCCGCAAAAAGGGGTGGGGCTTCAGGATCACCTTGCTGAGTTCCGTCTTCTGAAATTATGACCGAGCTTCCGTAAAAAAGGTAACTAGGTTTACCATACGCGCAATGGGTGTAATTATACAATTCGGGGCGATTTGAATAAACATGATTCAGCATTGTTTCTCTATTTAAAGAGTTAAAGGCATTCTTAAAATCTAGTTTTAAAAGAACAGTGCATTTTGGATTGTCGTCGCGTTCAATTAGGTTTCGAAACGAGTGCGCAGCTATTTCTGCTCCTCGTTTGGTACCGCATCCTACCTGTACGTTTCCGAAAAAATTTTGTCGCTCGGAGAGGGCCTTGCTTCCAGCGCATTTAGACGCGATACGTCTCAGCGTATTGCCTATGGCAATCGGTCTCAACCCTCCGTCTATCTTTATGAGGGCGATAAGCTTTGCGCCAAAAAAGAAAGGCCTTAGTGGTTCGGGTATTTTGCCATCACCAATGAAGTTTATCAGCTTAGTAAGCGATTTCAGAAAATTAAGTCCTGCACTGCCATTCGACTTACTAACAAGATCTTTAAAAATTTGAGGAACTATTTTATCAGGACCTGCTGCTGATCCGTTTGGAAAGGACATTATCGCTTTGTATAGGTCGAAATCGGTTACGAAAAACTATCCAACTTTTCTGGATTTGGAGCTGCAAATTTGGCTCGCTGTGGGTGCTTAGACAACAATTTTTGATAGTTATCAGTTGAAAAAGGAGCTATTTTGTCATTTGAAGCAGCAAGCCTTATTCCTCCCTTTACATTTCCTTCATCGAGCTTACTACTTATTAACTTTATTCTCTGCTTGAGGTCACTCAGAGGCGGGCTTGAAACTTGGGGATGGGGTTTTGGAAGTGACACGTCATTTGCTCGAATTTTTTTATTTACCATGCTTGTGGTCTGTTTGCGTCCACTTCTTTTCGGTTGCTCCAAAAAAACAAGAACGACGTTAAAAAAATTAGCCATTTTGTAACATCTTCTACATTGTAGACGATGGCATTTAATTTGTCCGACAGACTTTCCGCCAAGGGAACACGCGAGTCTTTTGGTACTCTCTTGAGTACTCGGACATTTGAGATGGTTGTATTAACATAATTGTCTAGCACTAAATCATTACCTATTGTTGCTTTATTAACAGATTTTATATCAACGCATAAAGGACACTGAAACCATTGGGTTTTTTTAGAGTCGTTAAGAGAAATATTTACACAACTGATATGATACCAACTAGAACAACAATCACATCTAATCCAAATTATCAGTCCTGAAGGTTTTAAGCAATCTTTGCTTGTACACTCTTTGTTGTTTTTCCTCATCTTGACGCAGCATAAAGGTAAAAAAGGATTTTGACTGGACTTTAGGGGACTGAACTAACCCATGATAAGCGGTTAGTGGGAATTTTACAAATCAGCAAATAAAAAAAAACAGACAACTAAATTAATTTAAATTTTAAATTCGATTGTTACAAAAAATGGTATGTTGACTAAGCGGTTAGTGGGAATTTTACAAATCAGCAAATAAAAAAAAACAGACCGCTAAATTAATTTAAATTTTAAATCCGATTGTTACAAAAAATGGTATGTTGACTAATCAGGTCATGAAAAACATATTTGGCCTTGAAATTTTATCTTGTAAAACCCCTCATTGAACCATAAAAGTGAAGTTCATGTAATGTGGGGGAGCCAAAATTTAAATCTGCTTCATTAAATTGAGTTTAAGACAAATCAAACGGGGAACTGGGAAAGAATCGCTCAAACAGGTATCAAAAATATAGATCACTCATCAGTGTTTTGTAATCGACGTGTCTATAATTTGCCGAGGTGGGAATGAAGGCTAAATGGCTCAAGCGCTGTGAGCGTGTTTTCCACTCCCCACTTACAAACTCAGTTTAAAAAAAAGTTTTCACGTCATATTGCAAGGAATCTTGGGGCTATCTTTCCTTTTTCGGCTCTTTTTCCTCAAACCCCCCCCCCCCCCTACCTCACACAAGCATCAATTTTATGGTCTAAGGAGTGGTTTTACAAGGTTGATTATGAAAATCAATAATGTTTGTCATGGCTTAATTAGTCTGCATGTCAATGTTCATGACAATCGGACAATGTGAACTGTTATTTGAATAATAAAAATTTGCAAGTGGGGGAAAAGGAAAAAGAGCCCCTTTTTCTCCCCACCTGCGAAATTTTCAAGTAATGTTTCTGTTAACATTGTCCGCTTGTTTCAAAAATTGGAATGCTAATATTGGAAAGATGAACATTCTAACAACTATGAAAATATTTGGATATTTGGTTTTGGGTCTTTCCCATTATAGTCCCCAGGCTCTTTTCCAGTCCCCCCCACCTTTCAAATTACCGAGTTTTATGTTTGTTTTACGTGTTATTACGGCTAAATGCGTGATGTTACGCTGTAAAGTATGAAGAACAAATCTGTTCACAGTTGCTGATTTGTTCACCACGCCAAATTTCATTGCATTATGACAAGGTTAAATAAGCTTTTCAAAGTTGAATTTGAAGGGGGGGAACTGGGGCTCTTTTCCAGTTTCCCCCTTTCAAAATACCGAGTTTAATGTTTGTTTTACATGTTATTACGGCTAAATGCGTGATGTTACGCTGTGAAGTATGAAGAACAAATCTGTTCACAGTTTTCGATTTGTTCACCACGCCAACTTTCATTACATTTTGACAAGGTTAAATAAGCTTTTAAAATGTGAATTTGAAAGGGGGGAACTGGAAAAGAGCCGAAACTGGAAAAGAGCCCCCCCCCCCCCCGAAATAAGAACCCTTTGGGGGGCTGTAATAGGAAAGGTGGGGGGGGGGGGGTCTATAATGGGAAAGACCCTTGGTTTTCATACCAACTATCTTAATATCATTCGTTTAGCGATAATAACAAGTACACCAACTATAAAAATAGAAAACTTGAAAGGTGTAGGGGAGGGGGATGAAAATTGATTTAAAAAATTTTGGGTAAAAGAGACCCCAAAATTATTTTACCTTGGCTGCTTTGATTATTGTCTCGTTAGTCGTTAGTAAGGTCTGTACCAGTAAGATTTCAACCTCACATTTTATAGAATAATTTTCTATAATTTAACTTCAGTTCAGCAATACTGTATCACGTGGCCTTATAAAGTTTATGAACATCACACGTGTCATAGTTTCAAAACACGCAATTTCATACTAAAATGCAACACTACTATAAAACGTGGGAAATTTGAAACGCAGGGAGAGTTTATTGAGCCCTTTTTCGGCAAAAACCATATGGACCGGAAAAGAGAGGCTTTATGGTGTTCAAAACCAAACATGAAACTGATCTTTTAGTGGCTGTAAAAGTCAAGTCAAATAGATGATGTCCAGTGAATCGATGCCTGATAAAGCAAATGACTGACTCAAAATTCCGGGCTCTTTTCCACTCCATCCTCCATACCTTCTACTTTTTCTGTTTTTATAGTTGTCTTTTAGTTGTTATTATGGCTAACGCATATAGTGATTCACTATGTAAAGTATGCAGAATAAATCTGTTCACAAGTGTTAGTTTGTTCACCATGCCAACCTTCATTGCATTCAAAGTTGAAAGTTTTTCAAAGTTTTTCAGTAGTTTTTCTAAGTTGAAATTGAAAGGTGGGGGAGTAGAAAAGATGAGCCAAAATCCGCTAATATCTGAATGAGTAAACAGGTTCAATGCTTCTGTAAAATTTGATCAAAACCTCAGTTTTAGCTGGAATTTCCTAAAATTTCATCTCAAATTTTTGTAAGCATCTTACAAATACTAACAGCTGGCCATGAACAGAATCAAAAGCTAAACTCGTATCGCAACCTCTGCGCTCTTCGTTCGAGAAAAATTTCTGAGTCTCAGAATTTCTCGTATTTAGTTTCCCATGTAATATTTGCTCAAAATTAAGAGGCCAGCTACCGTGTTCCTCGGTTTCTAGATGCCTTTTGTAACCAACTATGCAGATGTTAGAGCCATCTCTTCGTGTCGGCAAAAAACACATGCTTTAGCTTGATATTTTATCATTTAATTAAATAAGAATCAGCTGTTCATATACCTTTTCCTTTCAACCAGTTCAGTATACCGAAACGGTGTAACAGTAAAACTGTTTTTTTACTCAACAATAAATGATATTTTCTACTTGGGAGTAAATATGGATTATGAACTACGACAAATTATGAACCAAATAAGCTCAACATTAGTAATAATACTTTTGATTACAATTTCTTCGTATGCTTCAAACACAAATGGTAAGCTTCGACTATTTTCACTAAAAAATAGTAATTCATTTCACAATTGTACCGACTAAACTTAAGGAAAACACTTTCGCAAAAGGGGAGCGGTGTATGAAAATAATTTAACTCAGAGGCGGATACAGCTAAGGAGATTTTATAAATGATCACAAAACCACATGATTTTATTATTATTTCCAATTCCCCACCCGCACTCAGTAAAAAGAGAAAATAATAGATTATAATTGATTTTTCTTGTCTGTCTCCATAAATTTTTTTTAAAAATAGATTATAATTGCTTAAAAAGGGATTAAATACTACTATTTCTCTAAACAAAAAAAAACATTATAATCGATTATTTTTTGAATTTTTTTTTTCAAATTTTATTGAATAAATCCATTTCAATCGATTATAATTCATTATGATTCAACAAACGCCATCGCTTCATTTCGGTTTATTTTCGTTTTGTTTTGTGTGCTTTTCAATTGGTATCATTTCTAACCATTTTTTAATTCAATTTTTAAAAAAAAATTTTAAATAAAACTTCTAATTAGTGTGAACTCAAAAAATCTTAAAGCGCCTAAACATGATAATATGAGTAATATCTTATATTAACTAGGTTGAGTCAACGTCTCTCCAGGAAACCGGCCGCCATTTAGCCGATGTGAATTAGGCCGAAACACTCTCTTTTGCAAACTCCTAATGAAATAAAAACTCAAAAAGCCCAAAATATACATAATTAAAGCCGAAACGAAAAACCAATTAAAACAAAAACCAGGAGTAGACTATTGAAGAGCTACTTTGTTCAACTCCGAGCAAAAATTTTTTTGCTGAAATTCAAACGAGAAAAAAAAATTCGCGAAAAACTAGCACTATGTTTTAGAAATATGGAAAAAAGTTAAACCGAAATATTGTTATGTTATTGTTCCGACCCTTGAAAATGGGGAAGAAAATTGTATTGGAGTGTTTTAGTTTTCTTAATAACAATCGAAAAGAGTTGGATGATATATCATACTAAAACCCTTTCAGTCATGATTTGAGCAACATCACAAAACTTACAAAAAGTATTCCAAAGTGTCGAGAAAAACTGGTTTGAAATCTTTGATTTTTCGTCTAATTTCGAGCAAGTAAAGCAGGCGAGCAGGCTTATTTATGCTTAGTTTAAGCCGTACTTTTTTGTTTTTCCGTGTAAACTTATTTTTTGGAGTTTTTTGGCACCATTTTGGTCATCAGAAAGTTCAAAAACTCAAAAAAAATTTTTAAAGTTTTCGGAAAATTTTTAATGATTTTTTTTTCGTTTTTTTTTCAGTTTTTGTTCTTTTCTTTTTTTTATTATATCACGCATAAAAAATTAACACTAAATTGAAAAAAGTAATTTTTAAGATTAAGGCGGGAACATTCTGTGCTAATTGTACAGTAACCACCTATGGTTGCTAAGTTTTGAAAGTGTGAGATTTTTTACCAACTTTTAACTCGTCTGACTGTGCTTCAAATAATGATGATCCAAAATTAAGTTCAGGATATAACCAAAAAAAGTAAGCTTCTCCGCAACCGAAGAACAAAATAAATTAAAAATTGACTTTTCTCTTTGGAAATATAATTTTGATTGTTAAAAAATAACATTCAATTTTGACTTGAACACTCATTCGCGCTGATAGGATGCTGCAGAATCAATTATCATTAGCAATAGTAGTTCAGCGCAAAACCTGTCAACAACACCAACAAAAAAAATGTATAAAGTTTTTGTTTTTCAAAGTCAATCTGATCTATATGACGCTTTGAAATCATGGAAGCTCATTTGACACAGGCAAAGTAATCATTTGTGAAAAAAAAAACAGATTCAAAATTCAGATAATTTAAGATATAAAATCGAACTGATTGCTTTCTTGTGACAAACAGAAAAATGAAGAAAAATCGCAACATGGGAAAAACTTCGTTTAACTCATTAACCTGCTCAGTTTTTGAGAGAAACCAAAATTCGTCCAATAACGTTCGTTACCTCGTACGTCATGTTAAGAAAAGCTGCAAACAGACAAAAAGACGTAAAATAATGAGAAAAATTTAAAAGAAGGATACCCGTTTTCTGTGCAGGTAGCACAGAATGTTCCGACCATGGTCTTTAGAAAACTACGGTTTAGAAAGTTTTTTGTCAAAATAAGAGTAGTTTTTTCTGCTGGGTGTGATAAAAGGATCTGACGTAAAAAAGTAATTTAGACAATTTAGTCAATCATAGTAAAATAGGCAAATTGGACAAAAATTTCTGTAGAAAAATGACTAGAAAACATTGAAAAACTACAAAAAAAGATTCTGCAAAAGTTTTGCAATTTTCTTTTTCAAAATTTTTTGCAGAATTTTTTTTATTTTTTTTTTAAATTTTGGTTCCCAAAATGAAACTAAAAACTCCAAAAACTATTTTACTTGCCCAATCTTAAGTGTTAAAGTCTTAAATTAGGCATAACTCAGCTGCGGTACGCCTGCTCGCTTGCTTTATTCGCTCGAATGAAAACGAAAAATCAAAAACTTCAAACCGATTTTCTCGACACAGAAATTTTTTGGGAATTTTTTAATGTGGTTCCAATCACGACTGGAAGGGCTTTAATATGATATATCACTCAACCCAGTCCGATGATCATTTGTGGTACCTGATTTTGCGTGGAAAACGAAAAAAAATGTTGGAAATTTTTTAATGTGGTTCAAATCACGAGTGAAAATGCTTTAATACGATATATAACTCAACCCGGTACGATGATGATTTGTGATTTTGCCTGATTGTGCGTTGAAAACAAAAAGAAAAAAAAACTAATACACACCTGAATGCAAACGTTCTCCCCATTTTGAAATGGTCGAAATAATAAACATGTAAGCGAGTTCTCATAACAACTTACCAAAAAATGAAACAAAATGAGTCAAGCAAGCTTTAGAATGAAAACTATAGTTCATCGTACCTGCTGTTCCTCCCTTTTCTGAGATCAAAAATATCACAGAATGTTCCGGCCACAAAATGAATGTTCCACTGACCCATTCCACGGAATGCTCCGGCCGCAGTATTATTTCGCAAAATATAATCAAAAATCGAAAAATAAGTTCTTTAAACAATTTTTCATTCGTTTTTTTTACTGAAACTTTTAGTGAAACTTGATCAACTCGTTATCATGAACAGTTTTAAAGAATTATTTGAATTAACCACTCTAATCTTGTGGTAAAGTCTATTGCTAAAAAGCAGCGAGATGGAACAATCAGGCAATCAGATATAACTTCACGCTCAGGTGTGTCGAAAAAATCGTCGGTTTCATCCATAACAATTATTTTTTGGACGCCAACATTTAATATCTACTCGACAAACTTATCATAGTAAAGTTTAAGACTAGTGGTCATTCTGTTACACTGTAATAAATTTTGCATCGTGGCTGCTTATGATACAATGACTTATGTTTTAAGATTTTGTTATTCCGACCATTTGAAAAATGCGGAGAAACTTTGTATTCGGGTAAGTTTTAGTTTTTTCTTTTTGTTTTCCACAAAAAATCAGGTACCACAAATAATCATCGGACTGAGTCAAATGATATACCAAATTAAATCCTTTAAATTGTGGCTCGAGCGACTCTAGAAGTGACTGGAAAAACCGGTTTAAATGTTTTGATTTTCGTCTGTTTGCGCGCTAATAAGTGAAGCATGCAGGCTTACAATAACTTATTTGTGCCTAATTTAAGCCGTAAAAACTTAGTTTCACTCAAGTAAAGTTAGTTTTCGGATTTTTTTAACGACAATTCGGAGATCAAGTTGACATATCCCCCACCCACCCCTCGAAATCGACCAAATTAACATCCTCCAACATCAGTTTAAATTAATTTTGCTAAGCGCTGCGTGTATCTCAGAACCAAGCTAACATCCTCACCTCTAAATTGTTCTGGTGGGGGCGGGGAGAGAATGGTAATTTGGTCCCACTTTGGGAAACGAAAACTCAAAAGTTCAAAAAAGTAGGCAAAAAGTTTTTTTTGTTCAGATCTTTTATCACACCACGAATAAAAAAGACACTAACTTAAAAAAATATATATTTTTTCAAGATTATGGTCAGAACATTCTGTACAAATTGCAGAGTAACAGGCTATCCTTGTTTCATGATTTAAGTTTAGATTGCGCCAAACTTAAATCATGAAAATAGGATAGCGTGTTACTGTGCAACTTGTACAGAATGTTCTGGCCATAATCTTTAAAAAAAATCCAATTTATTTTCAAATTAGTGTCTTTTTTTCTTCGTGTTGTGATAAAAAATCTGAACAAAAAATAGAACTTGAGCTAAGAAAAGCAAAAAAACTAGATCTAATCTAGAAACCAAAAACTAATTAACACAATAGAACGTAAAAATTAACATCGGCGAATTTAAAAGGCGGTACAAAAAATGAGCAGAAACCGTTAAAGCTGAAAAAAAAACTTTTTAAAAGTTCGAAGTTATGAAAAATTGTTAAACTCACCCCCTCAAAACACACACACACATGCACACAAAAAACATTTTCGCTTCCAAACGATTCATAATGGGGCCACTAAACAAATGTGAAAAAACCGAAACCTATAAAACCAAAAAAAAAAGAAAAACAAACAAAATGAATATTTAACAAACAGAGTTGGTAAAACTACAACCAATATTTTAAAAACAATTTCGAACATTACATATTTTTGAAACGCTAACATGCTCATATTATCACTGTTGCAGGGCTAACTATAACTCAAAATACGAAAAAACTACAGTTGCTTTTTTGAACCTGCTGTATCTTGTACAAACTGTTCAAATTCATAAAGTTTTATACAGTTCAGTTTTTTGAGCTGAAATGAATAAGATCACGAATTAGTTACTTTTCAACATTTTTTGAAAGAAAAAAACTTCATGGTTTTAAAGTAAGTCGTTAGTCAGAGTAAATTTGACTCATTGCGAGAACACACAAAAAAGCAGCTCCATAAAGTGAAAAAATCAAAATTAGAAATAAACCTTGAATTATGAAAAACTCTATTAGCTCTGAGATTCGATCCTGCGGCCTAGTGATAAATAAGCTCACTCACTAACCACTCTGCAACGGACGCTTATTACTCCACGAACAGTAGCCGCCACAAAAAAGCAGAGAGCAGATGCTTTGCAATTTCCAATGCTACAGTGAAATTTCCTTAACAAGTGAACAATTTTGAAGAACACTTTTAATAGCGAGTTAGGCTAGAAAAAAAGAAGGTTCGTAATAACTTATTAAGCTGATCGCAAGTGTAAAAAAAAGAGAAGTCTTCACCTAGGTATTATAATGAACTCGCATTTTTCAATATTACTCAGCCATCTAGAACCATTAAACCCTGCATTTTTCTAGCATTTGAACTCTAGCATTTTTCAATATTACTCAGCCATCTAGAACCATTAAACCCTTTATTTCAGTCAGGTCGATTAATCTCAGTGTCAATTTTTCACTGTCAAGATAAACCAAAGTCAAAAATGAAAGAAAGAATATGTAAAAATGAGCCTTGAAAAATATAACTTTTGTTATGTTCTGGATCTTCGAACTAGGCATTAGACGTATTACGTTCTCGAATCTGCGTCAAGATTGGTTGAAATGTTACTAACACCGGTTGCCCATAAAGCAGCTAGAGTTGTTTTTAGATATCCAAAAAAAAGTAACTAATAAAAATAACCAACTAACCAATAAAAATAAAAACTATTTCAATGTACCGGAATCGACCTCCGACCTGTAGATTACGAGTATCAGGAATTTCATCAAAACACCCAAAGAATGTAAACGGTAATTTACTATACAACTGAAACTGACACTTTCAATATACTTTCAGAAACATCGAACCTGATTTGTTCAATCGAGAAGCCATTCACATGCGATGATGGAAACACGACTTTGCGTTTCTGTTTCCAAATATGCGACAGCGTGATCAACTGTGAGGACGCCTCCGACGAAATGGAACCAGATTGCCATTATTTCCACTGTCAGGATGATAATAACTCTGTAATTCCAATCTACGGCATCTGTGACAACCACGTCGAATGCCCGAATGCTAGAGATGAGGGAGATATTTGCATGTTTTATCCTCGTTTTGTGTGCGACAATCATGTCGACGCAGAGTACGACTACCGCTATGACAACGATTACGCCCATAAAACAAACACGACTGCACCTGGCCATACAATTCCAAGGTAGAAGGTTGAAACTTGAGAACATCGAATTGAGGGACTCGACCCCCTGCGGACCCCTTTGTACTATTTTCAGATGTCCATTTTTGGCTGACTGACCGTAGAATTTTTCTAAAGGCGCCTTGGGCGCCAATCTATACTAACTTCAAGGGGGGAGCGCGCGCCGAAAGAACGCAATTTGACTGCGGCGCAGAAAGTTTGGTCAAATTAGGGTATTTTTTTTAAATCCCCCCCCCCCCTCTTCGAGAAAGTCCCAAATTCCTAGATCCGCTCCTGCCTGTGAAGTTAGAGTTAGAGCGTAATTTGTCCATCAAAACTTTAACGCAAGTGATAGCCCTTAAGTTAAAGCCATTTTCTGGACTTAATTAGTGAAAATGGAAAACATTGCTTTCTGATTAGATTGATAACTCAAAAGTTTACGAATTTACAAACAATTGAACAATCTTCCCCAATTGAACAGCGATCCTAAGGGATCATCGGGAGGAGACATGATACTTGATTAAAAATAAAGTACAGCAGTACTATAACGCTATAATGTCTACTTATATAGGTATTATACGTGCTTTGGGGTGGACAGTTGTGGAGACGGGAGTTCGGAGCAGTGCTTCCAGTGTGACACTGGCAAGGAGAGGTACCACCGGGACTTCATGTGCGACGGAGTCAAAGATTGCCCAGATGGAACTGATGAGCGGGAGTGTCCGGGTCTGTTAAAATTACTGCTTGTGAAATTAGTCTCTGCGTTGATTAATAACAGCTGTGAAAGACAGTGAACGCCAGAATACTGAATTCTGTTTAGAAATTAAAGCAAAAAAAAATGATCAATTTAGATTTTCGATAGAGTAAACGTTTTTTACAAATGAAATAATTAATAAACTTTCAAAAATAGGTGCGTTTCATTTAGAAAAGGAAATGGTTTAATTGGCACCAGGATAATCAATGCTTGGTTCCGTAATATGTGGAAAAAGTCTGCCTTACCATTGAAAAACTGAAAATACAAGTAGCAAGTTTCATTATTTTCTAGATACAATCTGCACCGCTGGTCTCGCTAATTCGACCGTGTGGTGTGACACTGAGCATACACAACGCATTCACTGCATTCAACTGTGCGACGGGAAAACCGACTGTGACAACGGGTACGATGAGTCCCGTTGCGAGTACTTCGTGTGCGACGACAAAACAGTCATTCCTCTGTTCCAGCAGTGCGACGGGACTGTCAATTGCAATGACTCATCAGATGAAAATAGAGGCTGTGAGAGCATTGGCCCAAAAATACAATGCAAAGATGGCACCCAATGGACCAGATACTCGGCATGTGATGGACACTTTGACTGTTTCGGTCAGTTACTTCATGCATATTTAAAAAGCTCACCCTCGACTGCAAAATGAGACTCATCAATTAGGCTCAATGTTTATGCTTCTATTTTTCATCATTACTTTTAAATGGGAAGGGACCGATTAATAGAGACCAAAGGCAAGATTTAGTTCTAATATTATTCAAATTTTATACTAATTCAGAGACCGATTTAGGGGGGGGGGGGCAACTATAACCAACTGGCAACTAACCTAGGAGCACTGCAATTTTTTTAAAATGAATATTTCTGTCTTAGTCTACTTCTAATTATTTAAAATTATCTTCGGTGGTTTGAGGTGGGAGAGACGAAAGAATGTGCCACCAGTGCAACAGTAGCTTCAGACGATACCACCAGGATCATATGTGTGACACCATACTAGACTGCGAGGATGGAACAGATGAGACAGACTGTGATCCAGGTATTTAGCTAATGAGCCGAAAATTCAGCTAAATAAACTTGGTATTTACAGCAAAATCCAATTTCTTCTACCAACTTTCAGAAAATAATTTTGAAAGTGTATTAAGTTTTAACGGGAAACCCAAAAAAAGTCATTAACCGATGAAGAAGAAAACTTTCGTGAGAATTAACTAATTAATGTTTCAAGGTATGATAACTGAAGGTACGTCAGAGCTAGATGCGACAATGGAAGATACTTCAGAGATAGATTCGACAACTGAAGGTATCTCAATGCTAGATGCGACAGCGGAGGAAATTTCAGAGCTAGATGCGACAACTGAAGGAACCTCAGATTCAGATGCGACAACGGAAGATGCCTCAGAGCTAGATGCGAAAACGGAAGATACCTCAGAGCTAGAAGCGACAACTGAAGGTACCTCTGAGCTAGATACAATTGAAGATACCTCAGAGCTAGATGCGACAACGGAAGATACCTCAGAGCTTGATGCGACAACTGAAAGCACCTCAGAGCTAGATGCGACAATGGAAGATACCTCAGAGCTAGAAGCGACAACTGAAGGTACCTCTGAGCTAGATACAATTGAAGATACCTCAGAGCTAGATGCGACAACGGAAGATACCTCAGAGCTTGATGCGACAACTGAAAGCACCTCAGAGCTAGATGCGACAATGGAAGATACCTCAGAGCTAGAAGCGACAACTGAAGGTACCTCCGAGCTAGATACAATTGAAGATACCTCAGAGCTAGATGCGACAACGGAAGATACCTCAGAGCTTGATGCGACAACTGAAAGCACCTCAGAGCTAGATGCGACAATGGAAGATACCTCAGAGCTAGAAGCGACAACTGAAGGTATCTCTGAGCTAGATACAATTGAAGATACCTCAGAGCTAGATGCGACAACGGAAGAAACCTCAGAGCTTGATGCGACAACTGAAAGCACCTCAGAGTTAGATGCGACAATGGAAGACACTTCAGAGCTAGATTCGACAACTGAAGGTATCTCAATGCTAGATGGGACAGCGGAAGAAATTTCAGAGCTAGATGCGACAACTGAAGGAACCTCACATTTAGATGCGACAACGGAAGATGCCTCAGAGCTAGATGCGAAAACGGAAGATACCTCAGAGCTAGAAGCGACAACTGAAGGTACCTCTGAGCTAGATACAATTGAAGATACCTCAGAGCTAGATGCGACAACAGAAGATACCTCAGAGCTTGATGCGACAACTGAAAGCACCTCAGAGCTAGATGCGACAATGGAAGATACTTCAGAGCTAGATTCGACAACTGAAGGTATCTCAATGCTTGATGTGACAGCGGAGGAAATTTCAGAGCTAGATGCGACAACTGAAGGAACCTCAGAGTTAGATCCGACAACGGAAGATGCCTCAGTGCTAGATGCGACAACGGAAGACCCCTCAGAGCTAGAAGCGACAACTGAAGGTACCTCTGAGCTAGATACAACTGAAGATACCTCAGAGCTAGATGCGACAACGGAAGATACCTCAGAGCTGGATGCGAGAACTGAAAGTACCTCAGAGCTAGATGCGATAACTGAAGGTATCTCAATGCTAGATGCGACAGCGGAGAAAACTTCAGAGCTAGATACGACAACTGAAGGAATCTCAGAGTTATATGCGACAACGGAAGATACTTCAGAGCTAGAAGCGACAACTGAAGGTACCTCTGAGCTACATACAACTGAAGATACCTCAGAGCTAGATGCGACAACGGAAGATACCTCAGAGCTGGATGCGACAACTGAAAGTGCCTCAGAGCTAGATGCGACAACGGAAGATACCTCAGAGCTCGATGCGACAACTGAAAAAACCTCAGAGCTAGATGCGCCAACGGAAGACACCTCAGTGCTAGATGCGACAACGGAAGATACCTCCGAGCCAGATACGACAACTGCAGTTACCTCAGAGTTAGATACAACTGAGGGTACCTCAGAGCGAGATGCGCCAACGGAAGACACCTCAGTGCTAGATGCGACAACGGATGATACCTCAGAGCTAGATGCGATAACTGAAGTTACCTCAGAGCTAGATGCGCCAACGGAAGATACCTCAGAGCTAGATGCGACAACTGAAGGTAACTCAGAGCTAGATGCGACAACGGAAGATACCTCAGAGCTAGATGCGCCAACGGAAGATACCTCAATGCTAAGTGCGACAACTGAAGGTACTTCAGAGCTAGATGCGACAACTGAAGGTACCTCAGAGCTAGATGCGACAACTGAAGGTACCTCGGAACTAAATGCGACAACGGAAGATACCTCAAAGCTAGATTCGACAACTGAAGGTACCTCAGAGGTAGATGCGACAACGGAGGCTACTTCAGAACTAAATGCGACAACGGAAAAAACTTCGGAGCTTGATGCGTCAACGGAAGATAGTTCAGAGCTAAATGCGGCAACTGAAGGTAACTCAAAGCTAGATGCGACAACTGAAGGTACTACAGAGCTAGATGCGACAACGGAAGATACTTCAAAACTAGATGGGTCAACGGAAGATAGTTCAGAGCAAGATTCGCCAACGGAAGATGCCTCAGGCCAAGATGCGCCGACTGAAGACGTCGCAATCAAAAATATAACACACGCTGAGCTCATAGGTGAATCATCGACTACTGAAAGTATGTTAAATTGAGGTTCATTAGACAGCGTAATTTTGTTCCATTGACTGTCTGAGGTTGCTACAACTTCGAGATGTCGGGAACTATTTCAAAATTTCTACACCTTTTGGTAAAATGGTATTTAATTAATAGAACGAAAACACTATGATACAACATTTAAGTAACTTTAATTAGTTAGAGAAGCTTAGAGATTAAGACTAGTTGGATTTTTCATTATTTATTTGTTTTTTTTCTAAATGTCATTTTATACAGTGAACGTTATGTTAATTTTTTTTATTTTCAGGAAAAAGTCATAGAAATTGTTCACGTTCAGTTTTGATTTTCCGTGGTTTGACTTTTGACTTTTCGCAATCTCGTTTGATAAAAAGAAGGCAATTACGCCATCGAATTACAGAGGTTGCAACTGGCGGCAAGGAACGCAAATGACATCTAGCCTCGAAACTAGATTTATATTTTTCATTTGCCCGCGGAAAAAATATTCAGATGATTCGGTTTTCTTAAGTTGAGTTAACTAATGAAAAAATGTTCTTCAAAAAAGGCTTTAATGTGGTTTGTTTTTCTCCGATACTCGATAAAATTTTGGAATTAAGTCAGTTTAAATCGGGTTTGAAATATTGTTCATTGACACTTTTCCAACTGTCTGTCGGCTATTTCCTATTTCTAAGTGACTGCGATGGGAACCTCTGTGCTACTTGACTAGCAGCCGGTTGTTTTTTTCTCTAGTTTTTGCAGCTTCGCCAAGCACTGCAACTATCCAAGAACCGTCTTCCTATACAATCGGCACAAATTTATCGAGCAACAGCAGCGAAACAGTTCAAGATGATATTATTTTGTCAGCGACAGAATTGAACACAGGTGTCGACAGTGAACCAACAACAGATCCCAAATTAGAAGAATCAACGCAATCATCAGAAACCCAGTCTCCAATGCAAGAAGCGACAAATAGTGAAACTATGGTACTTGAAACAACCACTATTTCTATGGAAAATATCACCAGTACTTCAACAATAGTTGAGTATGGGAATATTGTGTACAAAATGATCTTCGAATTCGGTTCGGAAAACGAAAGCTGTGCTGACTTAGTTCCAAAAACAGCAACTGAACACGTTGAGCTAGCTGAATCTCTAAAAACGTACCTTGGAAATTCGGTCCCATCATCTTCGAAAATCGAAATAGTGTCAGCGACCTGCGGTTCGCTAGACATCCAATTCAGGATCAAAGAAGCCTATAAAAATTACACGGACGAATTCAGCTTGCACTCTACCGAAGAAGAAATCAAACTGAATTGGAGAGGAGCTGAACTGACGCTTAGAGAGGTCAGTTCCAGTGTCGATTCAGGACCTGGGGTCGTTTCAAGTGACGATGAGGACGATGACGCAACTCTGGCGATCGTTCTGGGAATCATATTCGGTATTCTATTTCTGTTGGCAATTGCGGTAGTGCTTGCGTGAGTAAATTTTGAATGTTTCTATATCAGTCAGAACTTGTTTGTTCGTCGCCCATGGCATGGCGGAAAAACAATTGATTAGTATTTTCGAACTTAAAGATAAAGATCAAATGAGGATTAAGTACGTGGGTCACGTTGAAATTGATTTGTTATTTTAGACCGAATTTTTCGTTAAACACAAAGATTTAATTTTTTATGTAAATCAAAAGATCGAACCGAAATTTAAATATTAAAACTGCTATTAAGTCGACCAAAAAGTTTGTTCTAGCAAAGTATTTTTGTATATTTTCCTGCTAAATTTACGCAATTCCATAGTATGACTTCGCATTTTTCTAAAGTCACTGTCGAATAATTTTCCATGAGGTACAGTGCTTATATCCGGACAAAACTAACAAAATTTGAAACTTCAAATGCGTTTTTCTCAAATTTGGTTAGGATTAGACAAAAATAAAAGAGAACAAAAGTTGCTTAGAATGTCGCCAGAATTCACATGAGCCTTTTTCTTTCGTTTTTTTTAAATCAAGAATTACGCTGAAACAAGTTCAATGATGATAAAATTATGTCAAACGAAGCCTCTTGCACAGCTCAACAAATTTATAGAAAGCAAAACTTTCAAAAATTTGCGTAAAACGTTTGAAATTTGTTTTTAGCTAAAGAATTTGATTCTTATATTGTAAAAATGACCTCTTTTGGCTATCAACCAATATGTCCTTTTATATAGATTTTTGGAAATTACATCTTTCTAGAACTTTGTTGGGCCGTGAAGGGGCTTTTTGATATATTTTTTCATCAATTAAATTGGTAATTTCAGCGTAATTCTTCATTAATTAATAAAGCCAAAATGGCCTCTTTTTGGGGTAAATTTTTGATTGAGAATATGGGGGAAAAACTGCACCATATTAATTCTGCTGGAATTTTAAGCAAAATTTTGTTCTCTACACTTTTTGTCTGATCTCCATCCAGTTTGAGAAAAACTCATTTGAAATTTCAAATGTAGTTTGTTGTCTGGTTAATTTTTATCAGCTTTGTATACAGTGCTGATATAAATATTCTGGACTAAACGAACAAAAATTGATACTTCAAACACGTTTTTCTCGAATTGGGTGGAAATTGGGCAGAAAGTGAAAAAAAAGTTGGAATTGGGTGGAAATTAGGTTTTCTCGAACTGCGTGGAAATTGGGACAAAAAGTGAAGAAAACAAAATAGAACAAAATTGCACAATCTAAAAGTTTCTCCAAAATAGATGGTTCAATTTGTTTTTCGAAATTCGCAACCAAAATTTCAAGCCAAAAATAAATCATTTTGGCTTTTTAGTCAATCAAAAATTACGCTGAAACTACCGGATTAATTAGTGAGAAAATTATATAAAAAGAAGCGTAATACAGTTCAACAAAGTTATAGAGGGGTAAAATTACCAAAAAATGTGCAAAATATTTGAAATTTGTTTTTATGCTAAGATTTTTACTTTTTTAAGTAAAATTGACTTTTTGTTGGCAATCAACCAAAAATGTATTCTTATCAGGGAAAATTTTGTCGACCTTTTTTTTAGGTCGACAGAAGTGATTTTCCGAGCTCTCTCAAAGCATTAAAAAGACCCTGTTATGGTGAAAACTTCTGCGCCGCAGGCAAAATGTTGAGAAAAATACAGGCCAAAAAAGGCGTTTTAAGGAACTTTTAGGAAAATTTCGACCAAAAAATTGCCTTTCTTTCGGCTCAAAATTAGTATATATTGGTGCTAAAGGCGCTTTAGAAAGTTTTTAGGGTCCGTCACCGAATATGGATATCTCAAAATAGTTTAAAGGGGGAATCTTTGGGTCGGCAGGGGGTCGCCCCACCCCCCTAAATCCGCCCCGTGATTCTTTTATATAGATATTTGGAACCTTGGCCAATTTTTGATGAGCTGTGTAAAACGCTTCTTTTGATATAACTTCTTTTGTGAATTAACACAGTAGTTATAGCGTATTTCTTGATTAACTAACAAAAGCCATAACGACCAATGTTTGAATTAAAATTTTGGTAGCGAATTTCAAAAACAAATTGCACCACATTTATTCTGTTTTCTCCGTTCTTTCGTTCTCTTCCATTTTGTCTAATCTCCACCCAATTGGAGAATAGCTCGTTTGAAATTTCAATTTCAGTTTGTTTTGTCCGGATAATTTTATTCACTACTGTACACTCAACATGCGAGCTATTAAGCCCAATACTGAACTTGAGAATGGTAAAATTTAATTTTTCAAGATTTCTTGAGCGAAGATTCTGCATGCTGGATGATGAATCCCCGGAATCAACTCAAGTAAGTTCCAGTTCCGAGTCCAAATATGCGACAGAAGATCTCCAACTCTTTCCTATTGAACCACATCCATCTCTCGAAGACGACGAAAAAGTACCTAAAATAGAGGTTACCCCCGCGACTGTACATGAGAGTAATGACAATGAGCGAAGTGAGGTTCTTACTGCAGTCATAGTCGAGGGAAAACAAGACTTACCTCCACCTCCATACGACTAAGCTGTCAAAGCATATAAAAAGCAGGAACGACAGTGAATAGAAAAAATTACATTAGGATCATTTATATTCACCTGATCATATTCACAATACTATCAACAAAACAAACTGATAATACGTATCAATACTGACTAAGTAATGATAGTTTCGATTATTAATGACTGTGGGCTTCATTTTGCTCCACTATTACTTTATGATACTTGAATTTACATGTTTTCAGAGTGAATTTTGAGGTATTTGACCACGGCAATTTAAAAAAATAACACAGAGGCGAAGCTGCTCTTCGCAAACGCTCGCGAGTAAACGATCAAAAAGCAGCTCTATCAAGTGAAAACAGAAAAAATAGAAATAAGCCTCGAATTAGCATAAACTCGGCTACGTGTAGGATTTGAATCTGTGACCTAGCAAATTCCGAGTCTCGCGCACTTACCACTCAGTCACGGATGCTTAAAATCCACAAAAACTAGCCACCAATAAAGCAGTTACATATGCTAATGAAATGCCAATTCGATGAAGCAAAAGTAGCACGAAATAATTTAGTACTAATTTGGAAAATAACAAACTGAAGGCATCCACACTAACTTTGCATGTAGCAAATTGGAAAGTATACAGCCAGATTATGTATAAATTATGCATTTCAAATAAATGCGAGATATATTGAGGTAGAAAAGGTCTGAAAATGAGTTTTAATTATAGTTAAGTTGTTTGAAACAAAAAGCTTTTTTTGGTTCATTTGATGAACTTAAAATTCATCAATTGTGTTAACTTATTACTAATCGAATGTCAAAACACAATCTATCTAAAAACTGTAAGCGTGCGCCAAAAACTGTACCAATATTTGCGACTTAGGTAGGAAGAAAAAGAAAGTTTGTACTAATACAATTTGCTTCGTTAGTCTAAAAACGACCGATTAATAGCAAAATAATAGGACAAAATAAAAAATCAAATACAATATAGTGCATATCTGATTTCTCTGTGTTTTTTTATTGTTTTTCCAGTCATTTTTATTTAGTTTTTGAATTATTCCTCTCTCTTCAAAAAACAGGAAAAAATAGATAAAAACAAAGCCAAAAGCAGGTTGGAAAAGTATTGACAACTCATAGAAATCAAAAAAAACTGTTGAAGCTATTTGATTTTTTAAAAAAGTTCTAATTGACATTTTTTTTACTAACCCAATTTGAAGAATGTATAAAAATTTTTTTTCCAATGAGAAATCTTAAAATTAAAGTCACTTTCGAAACTATAATCGATCACGTTTTTTTTTGCGCCATTTTCGCGTTACTAATTGGAGGGCGTAATTTGCCTGCCTTCTAGCAATAGAACTTGAATTGAACTCAAAATCTGCATATATAGCCAAGTGCATGCATAAATGCATTAATATGTAAGATGCAATTTTGTAGTTTCCATAAAAAAAGAAAAAAATATCAAAATCTACATAAATGAAAAAATATTTGTTTTTTTTATACCAAAAAATTGACAATACCATATAAAAAATAACCATTGAGAAGTTGTTTGCGTGAAATTTGAAAATTTACAAGACACTTCATATATTGATATGATATTTTAAAATACAAAAAAAACTAACTGAACCTTTGGAAAGTGTCGCGACAAAAAACAGCAAAACGACTTTGTTTTGGGAGCCAATTTAAATACAGAGTCAAAACGGAAAATCGCAACATTTGTAAAACCACAAAATTAAAGCCTTGAAAGCTACAGGATGTAAATTAAGATGAAAGACACTAACTAACTCAACATAAAAGATTTGAAAAACGTCTGAAATATTTATCTCTGATCTCTATAAAAAATTGTAGGTCTGTCTTGAAAGATGTTCAGTTTCAGGAAAACATAAGACCAAAGCATTTAGGTAAAACGATATTTTTGTTAAAAACGAAATTACAAAAGATTAAGTGCATTTACAAATTGCACCACGACTATCAATTGCAGAAAGAATTGCTTAAATCAGAAAGAAATTAACGTTTTGAAAAATGAGAAAAATTCATCTATCAGACTCAATTGTCTGCCTAGTTTTTGTTGGCTTATTTTTCAAAACGTTAATTTTTTTCTGATTTAAGCAATTCTTTCTGCAATTGATAGTCGTGGTGCAATTTGTAAATGCACTTAATCTTTTATAATTTCGTTTTTAACAAAAATATCGTTTTACCTAAATGCTTTGGTCTTATGTTTTCTTGAAACTGAACATCTTTCAAGACAGACCTACAATTTTTTATAGAGATCAGAGATAAATATTTCAGACGTTTTTCAAATCTTTTATTTTGAGTTAGTTAGTGTCTTTCATCTTAATTAAAAACTAGGCAGACAATTGAGTCTGATAGATGAATTTTTCTCAAAAAAGCTTTTCAGTTTTGATACATATCAAAAAAAATCATGGCCTAGCTGGGGCTCGACCCCAGACTTTAGTGTCCCAAGGCGCCAGGATTGCCGTGAGAATGGAAAATCCCGTTCCAATGGGAATGGGAAAGTTATGATACCTATGGGAATCCCCACATAAAAATAAACATAAAAAAACTTTGGATTGGGGTCGGTTTTGTTTCGAGCCAACATTAACTAGTATCTCAAGGAAAACAATGTTGAGAAAAACTGGCAGTAAAATTAGAAGAGAAAAATTTTAAGACAATTTTTTTGTTTTTTAATTCTTTTTTACTTTCGAATTTCTTATCTCGAATTATCGTGGTCGGGATATTCTGTGCTACTGGCACAGCACCCGCCTTTCCTTATTTCTGGTTTTAAGAAATTCATTTTCTCCACAAACTCACCAGCAAACCGTTGTAACAATCTCAACTCAATTATCCCAATATAAACGATTAACAGATAGGCGAAGCTACAAACGCAAGCAACAAAAAATCCAAGAGTTGCTTCAACCACTAAGCAGCTGCTGCTTGGATGCCAAAACTTGCATTCATTCTCTTATCAAAATAAACATACATATCCTAAGGGTAACAAGACTCCACGTTGCTGGACAAAGCTCTGATTGATCTGACTGCCATTCAACATACATTAGGGAGTTTTCGTTTTTTTTTGAAATTTTCTCACTATACGCAGTCAAGTGAAAAATTTTTGACTATTGCTACAATATTTGTATTGATCAGCTGCTTAGATTCAGTTTGTTAAAACTTCCAAGCCGGGTTAACTCTTCTCTTATACTACGCACGTGGTAAAGGAAAACAATTAAATTCTTGCGCATCAATTAATCGAAATTAATTTGAAAAATTTAGCAAAAAACAGGCAGCAAAACATGAGCTTTAGTTAAGCGTAGAGGAATAACGCTATTAGAAATAACCGAATCAATGAAAACAAAACTGCATAGAGAAATTGAACAGAAAAGTTTTGAATTTTATTGCAACAAAGCTGCAACTAAGATCGGAAAACGTGTATTGATCTTATAGCACCATCGTTACTTGTGCAACCACAGAAAAAAAGCAAGCTGATCTAATAATAACACAAGTAGCCTTTGTATACAAAATGATATAATACAATTATAAGAAAAAAACGCAAATTTTATACAGAAAGATACTAATGTTTTTGGTTACACCTTCACCTTCCAATTATCCTGGGGATAAAAAGCAACTAGCTTCAGATAATTTGGTGATGAAAGAAAAAAAACCCTTAATTATCTACCGTCTCCTTTGGCAAACGGTCTCATTTTTTATTCCTTTTCACTTACTATCGATTTTAATGAAATCACATCAGTTTGAAAAACAAAGAAATCATTGCAAACTGCTTCACGACTGAAAGACTTCCAAATTGAGATATCGCGAGGTTTCCTACCACATATCTTATTGGCAACAACTTGTCACAACGCCGTAAAATCTCAGGATTTTCCTTTCAAATTCGAGTCAGGACTTGAAAATCTAAACACTATTTTTTCACTCAGCTCAGTATCTTTATTTCCTAGCACCACCCTTGAAATATCAACTAAAGTACGGTTCAAATTTTATTTAACTTCTCTCCAAGTTTTAGGTTCAAAAATCGGTTGCGCATGCAAAATGCATTTGCATGACTAAAAAATTGAAACCAGCGATTCAATGTTTTTGGTTATCTATGACACTATATACCGAGTTAGCTCACCTCAACTGTATATCAAATGGAAACTCCAGAATTTATGCACACCAGAACTTAAGAAACTCCAGAATTTATGAAATTCCAGAATTTATGCACTAATTTTAAATTTTAGAATTGTAAGAAAAGACAGTACTCGTGTAATACAATGCATGCTTACAGCAGATCAATTGATCAATCTTCGTCTATCTTTCACAAATTGTTGCGAGATATGAATTAACATAGGCATCAGTTTTGTGCTTAAACGAATTAATTCGCTTTCTTAATAGAGTAATACGAAGCTGAATTGCTAGAAATTAAAAAGCTCAACGATAAAAACCCCCAGTTTCCTGAAACTGAATTACCAGTCTCGAAAAGTCTGTATCAGTCTGTCTACAAAATTGGTGCGAAATAAAACTTTCAAAAAAGCACTCATACCTGGCGAAAAACTCATAACGAAATTTACAGAAAATTGGCTCAACTACGGTTTCGTGCGAATCTTGCACCTTAGAAAGTAAATAGAACTATAAACTAAAAGCAAGATAAATTAGTTGGCCTTAAAAGATGAAAAGAAAGAAACCCTTAAAATATTATTCAAAGTAAAAAATATTTTCCAATGGTATTCGGTTCGGTATTTACTATGAATTATGATACTATAAATCTAGTTATAGATCTCGAATTTTCCGAAGGAAATTATCAAATCCTACGCTACTCGGATTTAATTATTTCAACGAGAAAAAACTAATTGATACTTCAAGCAATCAGCAAGGCACTTCTCCTTTTACTGGGATTCATACACCTCTCACATGGACGATTTACCGGCCTTTCGACAGAGGCGAAGCTGAGTTTCGGACCAGTTGAGATACAACTCAAGAAAAAAAATTCAAAAAACTAGATTTATAATGAATGAGGCTACTTTTGAAACAAAAACAAGCCGATACAATGGAATGTGAAATAAGCATCGGTAACAAAGCCGAAAATACCTTGGCAGAAACCTTTAAGCCGAAAAAAAATCAAAAAGTTAATAAGTCCCACTCGCCCTCAAAACACCCGAAAAACTTTATTTGCTAGTCAAATGAAACAATATGAGACAACTAAGCTGATATGATATAGCCCGAAACCTATTAAGCACAAAAATAGAAAATAAAAAAGCCAAAAAATCAAAAAAGTTAAGACTAAAAAAAAATAAGCCCCCCTCGCCCTCAAAAAACAAACACACACGCACAAACAATTTTCGCTTTTTGAAAGACAAAATTTGAGGCCGATAATCCGATATATTTTAGGCCTAAAGCTATCAAGCCGGAAAAAAAGAAAAAAAAGGCCGGAAAAAAATGTTGCCAGGAAAAACTTGAACTTTAATTTCTATTAGGATGTTCAGCATTTTGTGCAATCCAGAGGTGAACATAAAAAGTATGTTTTCATTCAAGCGACTCAAATTAAGGTCACTAAGCCGATAAAATATAAGCCGAACTCATTTGGGCAGCATAAAAACTTTAAGCAAAAAAAACAAGAAATATATACGATTTCAAGGTTAAAAAATTACAAACAAACAGCAGAGGTAACTCAGAACACTAAAAGCAACAATAATGTTTAAGAAATAATGTACAAATAATGTTAAAAACAAGGTAGAAAAAAATTCATAAAAGCGGAAACTAAGCCGACAAATAATAAACCGAAAGCGACGAAAGCGAAAACTCAAAAAATACCAAAGAAAAGTCATTAAAAAACTTGAGCTGCGAATTTAAGGGAAAAACACTAAGGATTCAAATAGGAGTAACAATATACGCACATACTGCATGCATGCTGAAATCTGTGGACAAAGTTGTTCAAGGGAAAAAACTAGTACCCGATTGCAATACCCTTGCTTATCGCAAGGGTAAATATTCCGCTTTCTATGAACTAAGCATTCTTAACTGTTTTATTTTCGCTTCATTTACTTAATCCGAAGAAATCAGGATTGGGGTACTATCGGAAATATCCCCCGTAAATGGTTAAAAAAAATGTTAACTACAAAATTGGATCGATATAGCTATGACAGGCAAGATAGTACTATACAACAGGCCAAAACGAAGCAGCTGACTGAATTTAACTTAACCGAAAAGACTACAGGTTCGAAACAAAAATCTGAATTAGAAAAATTGTTGCCAGAATTTGAATGAAATGCAACGCATTCTTAAATAGCATTTTTCCGCAGTTATCTGAGGATTAAATAGAGATTGATGACATTTCCATATTTGTCCCGTTTCATTGATTGCAGGGCATATGAGTTAGATATGAAAACTTTGAAGAGCTACTCATGCTTCGGAGCTCATCATAACTTTCAGATAAAGGGCAGGTGATTCCATATTTTATTTTAAAAGCTTTGTGATGTGGTGTTGCGTGGAAAATAAGATTTCATTCATATAAGCTTTGAAATAAAAAATAGATAGTTTGCGCTCAATTCAAGTGCACTTTGCAATAAAACAGCAGGAACTATTCGTAAGCCTGGCATCCAATCACTAGTCCGTGTCCAAATAGCCAATTAGCTGATAAATTACCTTTAGACCTGACCTCTTCAAGCTCTTTCGTGATTGCACATTTATCACACAGTTGAGTCATCTTTAATTCTGATTATCCCCTTATTCTTTTCATGCCCTGAGGGTCGATAGGCGGGTGAATCAATCATTTATTCGTGTGGTGCCTCTTTCAAATCCAATTGAAAGTAACAGCCTAAAATTCGCTCGGAAAGTAACTAACCCTAATCCTCCTGAAATTGAACTCAATCAATTATTCTATTTTACACTGCCTTCATCCAATCTTGATTGCATTAAAATCGAAATTGATTTTTTTTCTGAATACTTCAGCTCACTTGCCTACCAGAAATCTGAAGAAAAAGTAAGTACTCCTTATCGGTATATTTTCAAGCACTCTTTTTCGATATAATTTTAAATTCACACTCATTTTTTATCAAAGTTCCAATAAATTAGGTATCATATTTTGAAGCACTAAAATTGCTTGCTAAAACTAATCAGACTGCATAAAAAGCACCCAAGAAACCACAACCGAAATTCTTCGAATCTTAATGCCACTAAATTTTTAAGATCTCACAGAGATCCAAAAGCAAAAATAAAAACAACAATGGAAACTAGTCAGTTTTGTAGGTTACAGTTTTTCTATTGATCTTTTTCAGACACCTTTCCCACAAGTTTTCTCCCTTTTTGATAGAGCTTAGAAATAAGCTGTACTTTTGAGGATTGCGATATTGTGAAAGCTTCGACGGAGTGTTGAGGTCCTCGATGTCTATAGATGTAGAGCAGCTACAGTTAAATTCGACAATGAGTGATGTAGTAGACATAAGTTGAGAAGTCATGATGACAAGTGGGATGTCAGAGAAGTTGGCCGGGGGTTATAATTTGGTCTAGACTGCGAGAGCGAATACGGACACTATGCAGTACATGGACTTGTTCTCCCACCGGACAGAGCATGAACCGTCTGTCTGGTTGTCCCAGTAGCAGCTGCTGGCTGTATGCAGTCCAGTTCCGTTTCGCTCCATTATCACACATGTTGCCACGTATCTGGTCGAATAGAAAGGATCTTTTCACTACTTGTCTCTTCATTAGTTTTTTTTGGAAAATCAGTAGTCACAGCATTGAAATTTTGAAAAAATTATTCAGTTTTTATTAATTTTCTTCTAACAAGCTAAATTTTCCCAGTATGATTTTAAGTTCTGTTGTTGAAAAGTGCCGTGGTCTTAAAGGTTCTCATTTTCAAACAATTTTCTTGAGACTTTATCCAAAGCTTACTTGTAATTGTCGTTCATGACTGACAGCTGTTTTAACACATCCTCCACAATTCCCGCTGTCCAGTGGCTGACACTGTTGTGCGAGTAGGCAGTCCCCTGTCCCCCCAGACGAGACTCAATACAGCCCTTCACCATATTCGACACCTAAATCAAACTACAAAAATAAACAAGGATAGCCGGTTGCTGTGAAAGTAGCAGAGAATGTTCCGACGTTATTCATAAAAAAACTTTAAAAAAAGTTTTTCTTATTTTCTTCAATTTAGGGTAGTGTTTAGTGCGTGGTGTGATTCGAGAACTTTACAAACGCGTGGAAAGTTAGTGAATTAGACAAGAACGCAACATTTTTTGGTGATATGTTACAATAGGTGGTAATTTTGAGAAATATTTGAGAAGTGCATGTATTAAATTTTAGAGCTCTTATGCATAATACAGTCCTTTGAATTTCAATCACTTTTACATGCTGCTAAGATAGCTTTTGTATATACATTACTCTGCCAGACGAAATGTTGTTCGAAAAAAATCTAATTCTACACTTCTTTTGCCCAAAAATTTGACTTTGAAATAAATAACTCACAAATACTGTTAGAGGTATAACAAAGACCGATCCAGCTATTTAACTTGAATCTGCCACTTATTGTAGTTTATCATCCATTTTTTTCAAAAAATGAATAACAAACAAAAAATGGGAAAAAATTTAAAATAAATTTATATTTTTTGTACAATTATTTTCATTTGTTTAAAAACCTCTTGCCAAATAGGCGCTGAATGAAACATCAAAAACTAGTTTTCTTTAAATTAAAATGAAGTTTCACGAGCCTTAAAGTCAGTCCACTATAAGCCTAAAAGCAAATTTCCATACAACGAACGGAAATAAGACTAAATCTCAAAAACTTTTTAATGTCGTTCGAATCAAGGCTGAAAGGACTTTAAAATGATAGATCACTAGACCCAATGTGATGATTATTTGTGGTACCCGATTTTGGATTGAAAACAAAAAAGGAAAAAACTAGAACATACCCGAATACTAAGTACCTCCCCATTTTCAATGGTCGGAACAACGACGCTCATCCTTAAGCAAAAGGTACCGGCTGATAAGCAAAAAAAATCCGTATAACTGACCGTATAACTGACTGAAAAGGTTTAATAGGATACTAAGCTTTTCTTTGAATTATTTTGATACTAAATGCTACTTCTTGAAAAAGTAAGATAATAACTTTCTCGTCCTCAAGCAAAGATCAACATGAGCCTCGCTCCCTCAATATATTTCTAAATTAGGCAGAGGCACCCACCTTTCACCCCAGTTTTTTTCAAGTAAGTGTTTGCATGAATTCAATCATTACCTCCTCGACGTTAAATCCTCCAGGTTTCTTCAGGGAGCTGCCCTCGTGTATCGAGGAGGGGTTGGTTCTAGGGTTACTGCTATAACACGATGATCCATTGTCCGATCGAACTATCGGGTTGTGGCTGCTCATTCTGTCGTGGTGCTAATGAGCCGTTCAGAAGTGTAGCAGAGTGGATAGTCTCTCACATAAATATTACTCGTCGATCAAAGAACTGATTATAAGGTCTTGGTTTCCACCAATTAATCTGAAAATTATTTTTGGCTACTTTGAGAAAACTATATAAACAGTGAAAAGGAAAATGATTTCTGGCTGCTTTTAAAAGGCTATGAAAACATTTTATAAATATTACTTCTACCTGCTTCTTAACATTTTTTTCAAGACTACACTAGTGGAAAAAATATTATGCAGATTTTGTTTTTCTTTCAGAAATCCATGCTTTACAAAATGACTTCAGACATCATTTTACATAAAATTTACACACAGTTTTAACCTGAACCGAGATCAATTGATCAGCAGAGCTACCCTTTTTGAAGTTATCATAATTTGGCTTCGGGGACTTATCAACTTATTCCGCGTCTGAAAATGTCTGTTTTCACTATCTGCACTAAGCTTTTCAAGCCGCGTGAAATTTACAAAACAGCAGATTTGGTAAAGTTTCCACGCGAATGAGTTCACGAAGATACGGCATTTGCTTATCCGAAAATGATTTCACTAAGATACAAAACTTGATTCAGATAATGATAACTGGCATTTTCTGACCAGGAATAAGCTGGATAGTCCTCGAAATCAAATTTCACAAAAATTTGCTCTGATCATTCGCTCTTGTCCAAATTCGTAAATTTTGTCCAAAATAATCCTTGAAAACAGGCAGTTTGAGAGTATAAACCTGAAGTTGGGCTTAATTCCGTCCAGTAGTGTATTTTTTAAAGAAAAAATTAACAATTACGTCTGAAATGAAATTAATCCCATATGCCAGAGAGATGAAAAATTTCCCAAATGGCATATACTCCATATATCAGTAGCATTGAAAAAAAATGAGGGAACCTTTTTTGTAAACAAAGTAAGAAAAGTAGTAAATTTGTCAAGTGAATTTTGTTGGTTAACATTTTGTCTTTCAAAATGTTTTATGAATTCGGTATTCGTTTAGATGTATGTTCCCGAAGAGCTACTTATCGTCCTATACTGAAGACAGACAGAAAATTTGTTCAAGATGTTTTTAATAATTTCCTTTTTTCATCTACTTGAAGCACTTCAAGTAAATTCGAAGTGGTCTAGCGGACCCACATTTCTAAACGAGCATTTGAATCAAACACGGCGGGACCATACTTCTAAACGAGTACCAAAAATTCTTGCCATCAAAAACATAAGCTTGTGGTTATTTATTAGTTTGGGCCCTAGAAAATTAGCCAATGTTAATAAAAACAAAATTTAGACTACTCGCAAAACTCAATTACGAAATATTGATTGAAGCAAATAAAAAGTTCCAAACTATTCTGATACTTGTTGGTGATGCTAGGTATTTAAGTTGACCTATCTTTTAGCAGATCTAAAACAATTAGCAAGTCAAAACGTTTCCTAGGAAATTAGACGATGTTGATAAAAACAAAAATAAGATCACTCGCAAAACTATAATTATAAGTATTTAGACCAACTGAGCTGTTATCGGATGTGAAAAATGTTTACAGGTTAAAATTAACTTTCGGTTGGAGCTATCCGAACGAAAATCAAATTACCAAATGTCAAAGCTGTACAATTTATGCATTTGATGTTAAATTTAAAAACACAATAACTGGCGTTTAGTAAGTTTTCAGACAAAAACTGATCGGCAAATAAGCCGACAAAAACTGGTTAGACTCCCGTTGAGCGAATGCGTTTTCAATTGAAAAATCTAAATTTTTACGCTCCCTCCTCCGGAAACACACTGAAGCGTAGATATACATTTTTCCTGTAAAACAACTCTTGACTAGGTCATTTACTCGATTAAACATAAGCAAAAACAATTGAAGCCAAGCAAACCAGCGAAAAAAAAACGAAAAAAAATACACACTTAGGTTTACAAATAACAGTAACAAATCATAACTGTTTCAGTTACAATAAACATTACTTACAGCCCAGCAAAAATGCGTAACAAGGCAACTAAGCCGACCAAACATAAGCAGACACACAATAAGTCGCCAATTTTTTGAAACAGAATATTTCCCTTTTGAATAAAAAAAGTTCTGGCCTGGTTCGAACACAGGACCTTTATCACCTCAGGCGTACCACCTCAAAAACCATAAGTGCCTGAAAAGCTAAAAAAAAGTTTGATTTTGATGTCAGCCAAAGCTATCATATGTTTTTCTGTAAAAATTTTATAAAAACAAGAAAATTCCGTGATGCGTCAACTAAGAGGACAAAACATCATCAGACTAACGACAGACCGAATTTTTTTTAGAAACGGAACATTTTGTCTTCAAAATTTAAGCCAAAACTTCTTAAAAGAACTGTCAGTAGTAATAGTAGACCGGTAGAACTTAAATTTGCACGTGAATGAAGTTTAGTGATTCAAGTGATTTTGTCAAACAATTTAACCCGAAAAAAGTCTATATTCCAGTTTGATAACGCTTGCTCATCGCAAGCGTAATAAACAAATTTTTATAATAATTTTGACCTGTTTTGAGGTGATTTTTAACATGTTGTATTAGTGTGATTTCTTCATTAAACAAAACGTCAGTTTTGAACCAAAAACTTATCGTCTAAATTCGTTTTTATTAATATCGTCTAACTTGCTTCTCGTCTACTTTCCTAACACTCAATTAGTTTCTTCTAATCAGCTTTTTCAATAAAATTATCAATCAAGATTTATTTGGAAGCGATTAAATCCAAATATTGTTCAAACTTTTTGTTCCTGGGAAAAAGGACAATATTAGTTGATAAAAAACGTTTCTAAACTCGAAATTTATGCCATTTGGGAAACGTTTTGATGTTGAGGCATTCGTGAATTATGCCATTTGGGAAGCTACCGAACCAATATACAAGCAGTTCAGCTCAGTACGGCGAGCCGCTGATGCGTCGTTTTCAGTTTACTTGATAAAGGACTGGAAAACTTTTAAAAACAAAGCCAATTGACAGCTAGAATAGAGTCCTAACGCAAAGACACTAAAAAAAACTGACTTATGTTAAAAAAAACTTCAACTTTCGAATTTATGATTGGTGCTTTTTTGATAAAAATTAACCCAATTGGAGAAAACTGGATCAAAAGGTAAAAATTTAATTCGCTGGGAAATCAGATAATTAAGTTCCGTTTTCGAAATTAGAAGTCGATCGCGTTTTTCGTGATTTTTACATGTTTGCTGTTCGATAGTGGAATTTGCCTTCCTCTTAACAAGGAACTTATAGAGAAATCAAAAGACAAATCGCTAAGAATCAAATCAAAATTGCGTGAACAAACTTTAAAACTTTATATTGAAAAAATCACCAAGACCTATATAAGAGTAATCACCTCGTTCATTACTCTTAAAAAGTATATTCAGACAGACAGATCTAGTCTTAAGATAGAAACTCACCTATAAGCCTCAACATTTCGTGGTTCGATTTCCACATTTCGCTCTAAAAATATGGTCTCCAATGACAACTTATGGCCCATTAAACATTTACGAGCCTAGTATTATGACGACTGAACACCAGATAAATCTAAATTTAGACGTCATAGTAACTATGCAACAGCAATTAATTGAAACAGGTTCCCAACTTTTAAAAAGCTGGTATTTAACGACTATGTAACGGATTGGTACTGGGCAAATATCCGAAAAATAGGTACATAAGTTAATCATCCTAAAGTTTCCAATAAGTTTTGTTATGGAAGATATTTCAATAACACATGGGCACTTAGATGATAATTTAATACCAAGATATCACAACTGCTTTCAATTTCCTAATTATACAAGTCACTTGCTCTCGCAAGTAATAATATAAATTCGGACGTTTGCACCTCTGATCCTAGCATTATCAAATGTCTTTGTCGCAACCATAACGAATAGACACAATTTCAGACCGCCCGGTGAATTTACATAGCAGCAATTCATTGATAGATTCCCAACTGAAAAACATTTATGGTAAATAATCAAAACTATCAACATAAAGGGTGGTTCAAACTGGTTCATTACATTTAATATCCAGCAAAATTTATCCAGCAAAAATTATCATATCAAACCTTCGGAATTGCAAAAAGTAACGCCCACAATTTGATATAGCGATATGGAAGCGAAATTAATTTTTATAACATTTTTCTTCGATACTTGCAGTCACCATAATGTATTTGCTTGAAGAAAATCTCAATTAATTTTATCCAATTTCCTATCTACCTTCCAATTTATTTTCCCGGAACTCAAACTTATTAAACAATTCTACTGTAGCTACATATATTACAAGATCTGTAGCGGATGTCTCAATAGTCTGCATGTCAAAAAGCTAGCGGACTTAAAGCCCAATAAGTTTATTGTGTACCAATTAAGTAAATAAGCTTTCGTCTTTTGACATCCCATTTAACAAAAAATCCCTCCCCTCCGTTTATGGTTTCCAGCTGTCTCATAAACTATCTCATCAAATAATAATCGTTTCCTTTAGAAGACTCCCAACTCTCGATTTATTGCCCGCTTTTCCTGAACAGCCAGATATGCAAATAGATCAATCACCAAGCAAAAGTTCTACGCTCCGAAGCTATCAAAACAATATCCGAACCAATCGAGAGTCAAATTCAGAAAAATTCGTCATAAACAGATCGACCAAGATGTTTGCCAAGATTTACACAGCTCTCTTGATTTTCACAATCTTGAACATCTGTCTGCAACTTCCGACAAGCGAAGCGTTTTCACACACGAGCTATCGATCATGCAGCAACCGAGTCCGTAGCAAGTTAAATGGCAAATGTGACTTCAGATTGAACTACTGTGGATATTATGTCATTCGACTTCCACGGGGAGGCATTGAGGTGAGAACTCATTTCAAACCATAGCAAAGACAAACTATTGCTGTGCACGTAGCAGGGAATGTTCCGACCACAATGATTTCATAAAACAAATTCAAAAACAAAACAAAAACTTTTCGAGTCCGTAGCAACTTTATCATTTTTTTTCTAAATTTCCTGTTATTTTTTTTCAAGTAGGGCGATTTAGTTTGCTGAATAACAGCAAGAATGAGAAGCAAGATAAAAATAAAATTTGAATGCTTAAGTGATTAAAATTTTAATGCTTTAAATTTGAATGCTTAAATTATTCAAATCTAGTAGGTCAGCTTCTAATCAATTTTCGTCTAACTTAGTTTGAAAACCGAAAATATGCAAAAAGGACCTTAAGCTATAGTTCCTCCAAATTTTTTGAAGATCATTTATCCACGAGGGATAGGACCAACATACGAGCTGTACAGCTCATCACGGCGAACCGCTGTTGTGCCCCTGCTTAAGAACTACATGCAATTTTTTTTTTTGGTTATTTTTCTGGGCTGGGTAATGTTGCCTCACCCTCAAGCAACGAGCACGGATCATGGTGGGCCTCGAACATCCGACCTTTCGATTGAGAGGCGGAGACGTAACCACTTCACCACTGCTCCCCTTTGAGAGTGGTCGGAACACCAAGGATATCAGACCATATTTTCTCCTACACTGACTCACCGAGTAAACCCAAAATTACTATCAAAATATTCAAATACTAAATATCAAGAAAATTTTTAACTTAAGTAGACTAAAAACAAAAAAAAACATAAAAAATTGGTAATTTCAAATTGGTAAAATTAGTCAAGTTTTTTTTTAATTCGAATTTTGTAATTTTTTTTATCAAGTTCGTTGAAAATTTTTAAAATGACAGAAAAACGTCACATCTCGGAAAATAAAAGCAATTGAGCAGTCGCATTTGGACGCAAAATTTGCAACTTCTGAGACCACAGTAGTCAACTACAGGGTCGGGAATTTAAAACTTTTGAGAAAAATCAAATTGAAGATTTCTAATTTGATTTTTGAAAAAAAACCAAGAGAAGTGCAAATTGTTACAAAAAATAAATTTCAGTTTTCTGAAATTTTTTTGAAAAAATCACAAAAACGTCATATCTCGAAAAGTACAAGGATTTGAACAGTCACATTTGACGAAATAATTCGCAACTCTTGGTAGTACCCTGACAGAGTCTCACTATAGAGATGAGAACTTCAAATTTCGAAAGACTTTGGAAAAATCCTAAAATAAGACGTCACATCTCGATAACGAAAAGGATTTGTGCAGACATATTTAGAGGCAAGATTCGCTACCCCTGAGAGTAACCCTACAATTTCCAACTATAGGATTGAGATCTTTAAAACTTTCGAATTTTTTTAAAACGTCATATCTCAACTACAAGGATTTGAGAAGTGAGACTTGGAGGCCATAATTGCAACACCTGGTGAATCCCTGACAGCATCACAATTTAGGGTTGCTAATTTCAAACTTGGTGAAATAAACACTGAATTGAAACTGGAAAATCGAAAAAAAAAATCTTGACCATTGCAATATACGATATAGCTTATGTGAAAAAATTCTTTTGTTGAAAATGCAAAAATAAAACGTGGAAAAAGCCTAAACATGGCACGGTAGTAAAGCCCGCATTTAAATATACAATAGATTTCATGACATAAATGAATTATTGTCTCCCTCAAGCTGAGGCTCAAGGTTTCCTATCCAAAAAGAACAAAAATAACAAAGGGGCGAAGACGAGCTTCGCAGCACTTGCGATATACCAAAAATATAGCGTGAAGATGGCAAAAAAAGAGACGAAAGGCACTATGTCCAAGAAAAAACATTTAAAAAGGACGAAGAAGTTTCAAACAAAATGATTCTGAAAAAATATGTTGACAAAGATGCTAGCAAAAAATACTGTTAAAACTAAACTAACGAAGCGGAAACTTAGGCTAGAAAAATTCGCTATGCACAAATTGAGACACAAATAAATCAAGTTATGAAAAATTGGCCGGAAATAAATAAGTTACCCCTCGGCGCAAGCGCATACGCATAAAATCAATTTTGCCCAACTAACGACGTAATTTTTATAAGAATAGCACGAAAGTAAACTGAAAGTAAAAAGGCATCCGCGTTACCTACAGCCAAGTGGGAAAAGGTCTCGAAGTTGCTAACCAACCTTACAATTTCTTACAGATGGGCAAGTGTAAATATGCACTTGTGCGCAAACTTTATTGCGACGTACACCGATATATTCACAATTTTTTTAAAACCAAACACTAGGTATACGAACACGACGCTTTTTCAATATACTCCAATTCACTTGCAGCACTCCAACTTTTTTCAGAAGTCGGAACAACAACGATGAGAACTCAAACCCGAATACAACTTAAAATCAACCTCATTTATCTAAACTCTGAGAACTATTTTAACATAAAGCTTTACAGAACATCTAATTCAGATTTCCTGTTTTAGAAGTCGGACTGCATACGAAAAAGAGAGTCAGGACTATCCTGCAAGTTTGGTGAGCAATGCATGTCTGACAGCTGCTTTTCTGGCAAATGCACTTAGCTGACCGCAGAGATTGTGTGCAGCATCGGAAACCAACGAATCAATAATCTGATTTATAAATTTCAAGCTGACAGAAGAAAAGATATCAATTAATTCTCATGATATATTTACAGTAACATTGGCACAATTTGTAAAAAAAAAAAATAGATGGCACAATTTGAGCTTAGTAAAATTTCAAATGAATCACGATGAATCATGGTATCAAATAAATTGGACAAAATTGCACAGGTAAAAAAAGAGCGATTACGGCAAAACTAATCATTAGTGTCTGCTATTTCGATGAGTTTTGCAGCATCGCGATCGTACAATCTTTTCTGCTGCTTGCTTTCGTGTTTCTGAGCACCATGATTCAGTTGATGTTGACAAAGTGTCCTTAGAGGTTCTGTGAGATCTTCAAAAATATTCGGATATTTTTCGCATTCCATGTGATTTAAAACCATCGCAGCAGCTTCTAGCGTGCTTACACATTGATCGTTTGGTTGGGTTCTGATAACATACTGACTAAGCTGTGAGCTTTTCAATTTAACACACGGAAGCTTCGAAAGCCAATTTCGATTTTTAGTGAAGAGACTTTTGACTCGTCTCCATGATGCGTCCAAAAATATAAAAGCACACTTCTCTTCACCTGGTGAAACAACATCCTCCAATAACTCTGCATCGCGAGTTGGGTAAACTAGAAAACATCGATGGGTATTCAGTAGCTCTTTCAAGCTTTCAGGAATGTTCAGATTAAATGACACTCCAACAAAAACATGGCAAGATTCAGGCGTGAGTCCCATTTGCAGCAAAGGCACTGTAGTTAACGATCGTTTTTCTTCTGAAGGGTGCTTGAGTATGATGATTTTGGACGAGGTGGCCATTTTGTTTTGCCCGACTGTCGGGTTGCAAATGCAGACACCACAAGGTCTTCTGCACGTCTCACAGCAGTCCCGCCTGGGTTCGAAGGCTCCGTCAAAAATAGAGAAATCATGAGGCACAATTATGTCATCGACCATATCTGAAATAGTTTTATAAGTTTTCATTAAAAGAGATTTAATTGCAAATTTCAAAAATTCAAACGAAAGTTACAAAAAAGAGTCAGGATAATATGAACAACCTTGAGATTTAATATTTTTCATTCAAAATTTTCTATTTACATATTATTACTTCTATATTATTTACAAATATTAACACGCATTATTTACATAGCTGAAGTCGCAATAGAATGAAATCCAAGAAAACCATACATCGAACAAATTTAATTCGGTTCGAAATTTTCTAGAAGCAATGATATCTGCGGATGTCCGAGGTCCAGTGCAAACTGCGCCAGAGGCACTGGCTCCTCTTCACCCAGAAGCAAACTAGGAGCGGATGCTTTCGGATTAGCTCCGTGGGTCAGTAACAATCTACAGGCTGAATGGTGACCTTGAAACACAGCTAGACCCAGAGGGGTCATTCCTCCTGCTTGTGGGTTGGCTACATCTACTTTTATACCGCTAGTTGACAGCAGAACTCTGGCAACTGCGATATTGCCCAGTGAAACAGCAGTGTGAAGGCACGTGTTGCCTGATTCTGAAGGCATGTTTAAAGTCTGAGTTGTCACATTTTTGACCAGCCAAGATACGCAGTTTATAGCATGGGCAACCACTGCTCGGAACAAAAGACTTCTTTGTTGGTCGTCTTTTGCATTCGGGTTAAATTTGTGAATTCTTACAAAGTAGGCTAGTGTAGCCAATGCATCTTTTTCGAGACACGTAGATACGACTTCTTTGATAAAGGAGTCCAACGGTGGCAAACTGATTCGTTTGAAATCACAAAGATCCACTTTGTTCAGTTTTCTGTAGCTTTGAAAGAACTCTAAAATAGCGTTGAAGTAGTTGAATATTGCAAACACTCGAATCGAAAGAACAATTTGAAGTTTAGTTTTATCCGTTGAGCTGAATCGAACAGCCGATAGTAATTTTTTGTAGTTATAACTCTTTCCCGTCATCAAAAGAACCAAAGTGTCAATGAAAAATTTGTTGCCGTGTGTGCCAAAAAACTTATCGGGGTACTCGCTAAAAGCAACGCATAGAACAGCATTCAAATCATCTTTCGTGATATTTTTCGTGTCCAAGCCTTGAGCGAAGCCAACTGTAAGCTCCTCGATTAATATCTCATGCTCCATTGCAAATAGCTCGACTCTTTGCGACTCGATAAAACTTACGAGCCAAAATTGGGTGAAATCAACAAACTGATTCGGAACAGAGCACCACTGACGTAAGGCCAGCGCATTCTTATTGGCTCTAGTGAGCCAATCAGAAACTGAGGCTTCCTCGACAAACTCGAAACATTTGTCTACCTTTTTCTGCAAAATCAAAGGATCTAATTGCTTGCAACTTGTTGTTCTGGCTGTCAATAAATCTTCTTTCTTTGCTATCTGCGGAGCAATACTAATTGGAGACTCCGATTTCAAAAAGGGGTCCCAATTAGAAGACGCATTTGACATCAGTAAAGCAGGATCCATTTTTTTCTGGAGCTGAACTGGAGGCAAAACATCAACCAACACATCTTTCTTAGAAACGTCTTCTTTTGTTTTCTTTTTCTTCCTAGATTTCTTTGATTTTACAGGAGGCGTTGGCTTCATGGTTACTTCTGTACTTGTTAATTCAGGTGAAGTGAATTTTGAAGACGTGACAACAGAGTCATCGCAACCCGATGGTCCCAATCCACTATCGGGTTGTTCGTCATCCTCACTCAACTCTGGTCCGATTCCCACATCCAACGTATCACTGCTGCTGCCCGAGAGGTCTAACGCGGGAACTTCGGCGACTGAAGGAGGTCTGAAGGACATGACTGAATCTGGTCTGAAGTCTTCGTTGAACGAAAGCCGAGATACTTGATCAATGAACTCGCGGAGGTCTTTCGGCTCATCGTCACTGTCGCCACTGAATTTTTGCAACGATCCCATTTTCAACCTGAAAGTCATACAAATTTAGTTCATTCCAAATCATTTTCAGCTAGATGATAAAGATCACAGTTGTTTCAAACTACATTTATCGCCAAGTGATTATACAGTGCTGATTTAAATTAACCGGACAAAACGCGTTAAACTTGAAATTTAAAAACGCGTTTTTCTCAAATTGGGTTGAGTTTAGGTGAAAACTTATGAAGACAAAACTTGCTTAACATTTTGATGTGTAATTTGTAGCAGAATTGATATGGTGTAATTTGTTTTGCGAAATTCGGGCCCAAAATTTTACCCCAAAAATGGGTCATTTTGGCTTTTCTTAGTTAATCAAAAATTATGCCAAAAATACCCAGTCGATCACAGACATAATTATATCAAAGTGAGCCCCTTACGTAGCCCAACAAACTTTAAGGAGGGTATAATCTCCAAAAACAATTGTAAACCGTTTAAAAATTGTTTTTAAATAAAAAGTTTGTATTTTATGTAGTAAAACGACCTTTTTTGTCTATCAAACAAAAATAAACTAACTTATACAATGTTTTGGACGTTATACCCTCCTTAAAGTTTGTTGGGCTACGTAAGGGGCTCACTTTGATATAATTATGTCTGTGATCGACTGGGTATTTTTGGCATAATTTTTGATTAACTAAGAAAAGCCAAAATGACCCATTTTTGGGGTAAAATTTTGGGCCCGAATTTCGCAAAACAAATTACACCATATCAATTCTGCTAAAATGTTAAGCAAGTTTTGTCTTCATAAGTTTTCACCTAAACTCAACCCAATTTGAGAAAAACGCGTTTTTAAATTTCAAGTTTAACGCGTTTTGTCCGGTTAATTTAAATCAGCACTGTAATCTATTGCAATCAAACTACGTCTTCTCAAACATAACAAAAATCAAGCACAGAAGTTAACTTCATCTACGTTGCTAAAACCTCTGGAAAAAAAAAACAACTTTCAATAATCAATTCATAGTAGAAGCTTCGGACATATTTTCATCATCAGCCTCTTTCTGAGTATAATTTTCAGGGAATTTATTAATCGACACTTGCAATTCGCGCTGCACCATTGGCGTTATGTGAGCGTGGTACTGCCTCTGAGCTAGTCTCATCAACTGTTCTTTTTGTTCATTCGAGAGTGAATTTTTGTACCTCTGAACAAATGTGAGAAAACACTGGTGCCACAAAACTGGGAAATTCCTTTGATCGTCTTTAAAACTCAGGAAATGATGAACTGAAGCATCAATGACTCGAAACGGTAATGCGTATTTCTTGTTGAAAAAAGTCTTCAAAAATATGCTATTTGCTCCATTCCACTGCATCTCGGCTATTTTCAACATGGCTGCGCTAGAATGGAGAACTGGAATTGAGCATTTAGCCAGAATACTAGAAATTATCACGGCCTCACGTAATGTACAGTCACCTTCTTCGCACAAAGGAAGCAAAAAGCCCTTGAAAAACGCTCCAATTTTAAACAAAGCCTTTTTTAGGGCCATGTAGAGAAAAAAATTCAGCTTCTTGTATTCTTGAATGTCGTCTCGAACTCGAGGTAGCAGAACCAAATTATAGAACCTTTGAGCAATTTTCTCATTTGCAGAGGCCGAAAATCTTCGCGTAGCTTGATACATAGCAGCGGCTGTCCATTGATGGGGTTTGGTCAGAAACAGCAGGGGTTCCCAGTCCAGCAAAACTGGCAGCACCTTGAACGCCTTTGGAATCTTTCCGCTCCTGTACTTGCTCATAACCTCGCCCACGCCTTTATAAACTGCTATGATCCTTTCATCTAACTGCGGACTAGAAGTGTCTGCTGTTTGACTTTGCGAGACTGCGTCATCGACTTCGGCCCGCTTCAGCGCCAAGGCTTCCATATATTTGTCATAAATCGACTCTTGATTTGAGAAGATAACAGTTTTCGCCTGTGATTTGCCTTCACCTTGAGGCGTCATTTTCATGAATTCCTTCATAACTTTTTCCTCTTCTTCTGTTACGTCTTCTGCGTTTAAGTCAGTTCCATCCCACAACTTTCGCTCGGATTCCAAAATCATCTCATCTTTCAGATCCGCATTTTCATCATCAGGGTCATCTTCGTTTTCTTGCAGTTCTTCATGCATCTCCTCGGATCGAACCCCACTTTCTCCTGACCCTGACAGCGAGAACTGTTTTCTTTTCGCAACTTCGGCATAGCCCAGCTCCATTCCAATCTCATCCTGCTGTTTCTTGGCGATCGAGAGAATTTTCTTAGACGTTCGGTCATCGACAACAACGCTGGATTCGTCGTCTTGACTCACGTTCATGATCACGGACTGTCCGGATGTTTTCTTCTGTTTAGCCAACCTAGACTGTTCGACCTCCTCGTCCAGAGGCAGCGAGTGATGCGATCTTGTGCTGGAAGGTCTTTTCTTTACCATTTTTACACCTGAAAATTTAAAAATTGACAATAATTCTTGTTTGGCTAATAGCGAGTTTCGTGAATCCTGACGTGGGTGGAAAAAGGAATCAAAGTTAAAAATTCGAAAAACAAAAGTTACCAGGAGCTTAAATTCACAAACGAAGAAATAAATAGGAAACAAATAAATCAGGATATTAAGCACAGATACTCAGCACAATCTGCATTTGCAATAAAGGGCGTAAAACTTTCATAACTATATGAACTGCAGGATAATATGCTATTTAGTACACGTGTACAATTCCGTAGAAGAAAGTCCAAAACAAGACGTAGGTGAAGAGAAAACTGAAAATAGACGAAGTCACCACTGATTTCGACGAGATGAAATACTTATGCGACTGACCCAGGCCTGCCTTTATAAATATACACGTATTTGTTGCGAGTAGGACAAACAGGACAAACAAGAACCCTTGGATGCCAGTAAGTCCAATGATTCCGGCTGCCGCGCCGCCTAACGATGCTCCGCATGTCCGACAGTATTCCAGAACTGCCATGTTATGTTGAATGGCCACTGGACTGTAGACTGGCTTGTTCTCCTCGAGAGGAGCTGCTGATGCTTCCATCACAAAATCTGAAAAATAAAAATACAATGCAATTTTAATCTTATCATTTGATTATCTGACATTGAGGAGCATAAAACTAACGGCTTTTGAATTTTGAAAAAAAATAATTTTGCTCGCTTGCAGAAAATTGAGGCAGTACTGATTATCAGGAAATGCTTGAACTGTATTTTTAACTTTAAAGGGCCACAGACTTGCTAGTTTCGTTCCAATTATTTTTGATGTACGAATGCGTTACAACCTAAATTGAGGGTTTTCCAGGTTGAATCTTAGTCTCTCGAAAGCTTTGAATTCAATACAATCAAACTCTTAAAGGTTAATTTAACACTTACATATTCACAGATATTTACAAGACTTTTTCATTAAAAAATTAATCAACAGGAGCTAAGTCTTCAATAGCCATTACATTCACAGAATTTGTCAAATAATCTTCATCATCGTCGTCATCTTCATCATAATCGCCATATTTCTCATGGCTATATCCATTGAATGACGTTTCACGAGAGGGTCCGCTGCTTCCAACAGACGGTGTCTTTCGACGACTTGACGAATCGTCGTTTTCGGACGAAACCTCGAAATCATTTGCGGAGTATCCTGCCATTCCAATAGAAGCGGCGCTTTGTCTACCCGAATCCGGAACTCTTGCATTTTTGATGCTAGTATAACCTTCCTCTTCTTGACTTGCAGCGTCATCGCTCAGAGTTGAATACATGCTACGACTTTCGCCGCCGATTCGGATTTGATCATTCGGCTCTCGAACTTGGGATGGCATTTTCGTTCTATTGGTTTTTGAAAACGCAGTTTGAATCTTCTTGTGTTGGTCTATGCTTTGAAGCATAGAGACTATTCCGTATATAAGTGGCAACTTTTGCATGTTTGTTCCCGATTCTTCCAAATTCAAATCACTTTTCACAAATTCTCTGTCGACGCCATTCTTTGGAGTTCCAGTTTCCATTTGAAATACAGACAGTGAGTTCTGATGTTTGTTGTACTCCAGATACTCCCTAATCAGCTCATTGATGACTAAGTTTTCCTGACAGAGTGATTCTCCTTTGGCAACTGAATCCGTTTCGTGAAGACTTTTGAATATTTCGCTTCTTAGATTCGCTTGGATCTGCTGGAGAACTCCTTTAGAGTTCAAATTCTCCATGACCAATTTTTTGAACTCTGTCACATCAGTCATTTTTGAAGAACGTCAAAAAATCTTAAAAAACATGACTTGGTAAAAAGCAAAATAAACAGAACAGACCCTATAAGAAATACAACCCATAAACAAGAGGCACGTCATAAGCACCATTTGCATTCACTACATCACAAAAATAGCATGTCAAGCTGGCAGACATAAAATGAGACAAAAAACATATAACGGAAAAAAACTACATCACAAAAATAGCATGTCAAGCTGGCAGACATAAAATGAGACAAAAACCATATAACCGAAAAAATATGAAACAAAACTCTTGCAGTGCCTCTATCAGAAATATTTTCACGTAGGTCTTAGCGAATAATCTTCGAATTGTTAAAAACTTGAAGCACATCTACCAGCGCTATTATTAGTGTTCAAACAAAATGTATCTAGCGGCAATTAGGCCGACAATACTTGGCAGACACCCGTTGAGCCAAAAACAAAATTACTGTATAAATTTAACAATACAGCTTTGAAACTCGAAGTATCTACATCACCCTAGCTCAAGTACACCCCCACTTATGAATCTACTATTAACCAAACTATTTAAGCCGAATAAACCTTTTAAGCAAAACAACGAGGAAAACACGAAATTATAGCAATTAAAATTGCACAAAAACCAGGAAAAACTCGAAATGAGGATCAATTTTAGGGATAATAACATGAATCTGGATACAACAAATGTTGTGAAAAATGAATAAATGAACTTTTTCAAGAAAAACTGCAACATAAAGAGTACTAATACAACTAGTAAAGAGTACCATGGCAGCAATGCTTCTGATTACGTACAAAGCTATGATTGAACCAGTCTTAGAATACGCTGCTCCAGCATAGTCACAGCAAGCAATACATCCATCCAAAGACTTCAAACTGTGCATTACGCTGCCCTCCGCATTGTAACCGGATGCACCAAAATTGAACACGTACATGCTTATTGCCTTATTCTTCCTGTAAAACACCACATGAATCTAATTTCTTCCCAAAACTATGCATGCTGCCATCTATAAAACCACACTGGAAGAGCAATACTCGATACTACAAACCCCAGTCCAAAAAATTCAAAAGCCACAATGCGGGTCTCTAGACTGACTAGATCTAACCCTAACGAGTACATCGACAAGTAGCCAAACTCAACATATACGAAGTACTCACACACGAGCAGTTTCCAACTTCATTGCAACTGTTCACACATCTAAAATACTCACGGAAAACCCCCAGTTATATCCCCAACTGAACTATCACTGAGTCGCAAGGCCCGTTCCAGCCTAGCTCAACTACGCTCCGGCTACTCCCCCTACCTCAACAGAAAGTCCTATGCGCTTCAACACCCCCACACAATACCTACCACCTCTTTCAATGTCTCTGAAATCCTAATACACTCACTAAACTTTCACTCAGCTCAAAACCAGCAGAGTCTTCTGCCTTCCTCGAGTTTGATCAGCCTTCAAGCTTATCAGTCGAGCTCGCTTCTGATGACCAGTGTCGACTCAACATTGGCTCAGCTTCGGCTATAAAACCAAAACCGTTCCTCTGTCTGGTGTTCCACAGATACGGCAAAAACAAAATTAGACACCAAAACTATAGCTTCGATTTAATTTAACCGTTTGACGTCCTTTGCTATCTTTTCCCGTTTGACGGCTTGGTTATTCAGCGAAACGGGCGCCGCAACTAGAATCACTTGACGTCTCAGTTACTGGAATAGGGGCCCCCTTCTACCCAGAGGCAAGAGACGACACAAATAACCACCTTATAACAAAACAACGCATCTAAAAACTAGCCCAAACAAAGAAATCAATGTTCTCTGAAGAAATAATGAACTAACGCGCTAACAGTTCTTAACCAAAACGAAGACCATTTATATGGAAATCTGACCGAAACGACAAAACTTTGTGCGCTGCCCTTCAACAAGGCAACTACAACAACAAAAACTGACAGCAACTAGTAGTTTAAATTGAGTTTAAAATACTCAAACTTTAAAATCTGGTAAAATTTCTCACTGTTTGCTTGAAAATACATAAAGATAAAGTAATATGCAAACGTTGTAAAATTTAAGTAGATTTATCTTTATGTATTTCAAATAAAACCCAATTACCTCAGGATTACTTTATAGTGGTTAAAAAAGCTGTAGACTAAAAGTTGTATTTTATTGTAGATATTTTATTTTCTCCTTCTAAGATACATTTGAATCCTTTCTGGGTTTTACTAATAAATACCGACTTCAAGAAGAGAGCAACTTCCGTTCTGCTGGAAAATGTACCCTGAATTAAAATAAACGATTGCATTAAAATCGGGTAAAATAACAAATTTGCATTTTAGCCTTAAGCCCTGTTACAGTGACAACAATGTTTTGGTTGGCAACATGAATACATAAAACAAATGTCCACGATCTGTCTTTTTAAATCAGTACATTATCTGGTGAAACCTCGAGTCCTTCACTTGAAAGACAGAGAGAATAACTCTTATTCTTATTGTACAGGGGACGTTTGTACCAATGTTGTATAATTCTTCCTGGCTGCCAAACCATTGTGAACAGCTATTATAAACAAACCAGTCTGAAAGCTACTATTAAGCAACCTGATAAAGAAGTCTGAAATGACCGTTTAGCCCTCCAAATTTACTGGGTGAGACAACTTGGGTTTTGTAATATTCCAGCCAAACGAACTTAACAGGCAAATTCAAACCATTATTTTCTAGGAAAACCTATCCATAATAGTGAATTGCAAAATTTTCCTGTCCTGTTTCAAATTGACACCGTCGTGCAACACAAGACCGCCCTCTGCTGAGACGTAAAGTCCGAACTTAAGCTCTTATATTTTTCTCAACTCATCATATTGGACTGACTGAAAATATATCCTTCATGTTAGTAGATGAATATTTGTTTGCTTTGATTATCTCACCATTCACACGTAAAAAAGGATCTGGTAGAAAAATAATCGTTTCCTGGTAGACGCATTTTCTTCCATGAAAATTCTCAGGCTCATATTTTTCTAAAACTGGCCAAAATTTTGGGCATTACACTGATCTCTTCATTATTGTATTTAATTTTACAACCAAATTGACAGTTTTCCACGGCAATTTAAATTTGATTTCCGCGATTACTTTTGCAAAAACCAACTGAGCCGTAACATTGAATGGAAAATCTAAATATACTTCTAATATGACCTGGCTAGCTCTCTTTGAATTATTATTTATGATTCCACTTCATTTTTATTAATTCCATGAAGGCCCACTCTGGATAAGCCTAACAGGTTCCAGATTGACTGGATTAGAGGCTAAAGTTGGTTTCCATTCTATTCAAGCGCGTTTCCATTGATATTACGAACCATGTGTGTTAGCTAACTGCCTTGAAGTTCTGACGAAAAATTTGAACTAACGGTCTCAAAAAGCTAATTTTGAAGAAAGTATTTTAAACACATTTACTATTTTTGTGTGAAAAGATACAGGCGAAAAAGAAGTCAAAAATTCTACGTTTCGTCAGAATGTTCGAAAAATATCTACTGGACTGAATCAATAAAACGTGCACATTTGAGTCTAGTTTTACATCTTTGGTAAATGTAACTTTTCTTGGCCATTACAAGCTTCTACTTTAGTAGCAAAGTTTTATTAATTTTCTAAAATACTCAATTCTTTAATCAACTTAATATCTGAATAATGTTATGGTAGTATATAATACCTGTCGCCGATTTAAAGAGCTAAATACTGGATAACTGGAGCGTAAATTATTGATCACGATTGAAATTCATTGGATATCAATTATTTATTTGTGTGGATATTGGTGTATACAACGATGCATCAGTTCAAATGCGTAGTGGTCGGAGATGGGTTAGTCTGGCTATTTCCTTGCTTTGAAAAAAGATCTATTTTATCAGATTCTATGTTTAAGTATTTTATAAACTATGTTTAAGGTTTGTTGGGAAGACTTCAATGCTCATCGCCTACACGAGGAATTACTTTGATCCATCATATACACCCACGGTGTTAGTAATATGAGTATCTTCCAAGTGAATCTCAGACAGAATACTTACTAAAAATTTTTTTTTTAAATGCAGCCAACCAGCAGTTGAAAAATCTTGCCTGATAAGATAACGAAAACCACATAAAACTAAAAAAAAAAAAAAATTAATTAACGAAGCTATTTAGTAACTTTCACTTTTGAAAACATACTATCAACTTAAATTGGCTCATTTCTGAAAATACTTGCAATTGTTATTTTTTGATTGAACTATTTTTGGATAACTATCCCGATCTGAGTAATCCTGAACACTAATCAAATGGTAATCGAAAAACACCATCCGACATTAAGAACAAAAATTGAAGGCCAACTTTTTTCACCCTTGTTCCACTTATATTATTAGAGAGCATAAAATAGTTAGAGCAGCGCTTACAAAGATGATAAATAGATAGCTTTAAAAATAGATAATAAATAATTTGAAAAACAAAATCATTCAATGTCGTGGTTTTTTGAAATCTATTAAAAGGTGCCTCCTTTTCTGTATTAGTGCCTGTTCTTTACTACAATCTATAGTTGGTGACTAAGTTCAACTTTTTCAACGGTTCAAAGTAGCACAGAATGTTCCGAGTCTTTAAAATCTACGAATTTTTTTTTCAAGTTAGTTTAGTTTTTTTGCGTGGTGTGATAAAAGGATCTGACGTAAAACTGTAATTAAGGCATATTTGACATTCATAGTAATGGTGCATATACAAAACAGTCCCATACAAAACAGTCCAATACAAAAAAGTCCCAAAAATCATGTAATGGAGGGAAAAAACAGTCCAATACAAAACATTCCGGTTTAAGGTCGCCGGTCGGCGCGATAACCGGCTCCAAATTTCGTATTAAGTCCTACCCTCTGTTGGCAAGCTCGCAACACGTTGGCGCGACTGCGGTGGTCACTATTTTGTTCATTATGCTTGTTGAACAAAGGACAATTCTCGGTCTGCCGGCTTGTTAAAACAATTATTAATTGGGACTGTTTTGTATCGGACTGTTTTTTCGTTCATTTTCATTCTTTTCCGGACTGTTTTGTATTGGACTGTTTTGTATGGGACTGTTTTGTACAGACACGATAATAATATAGGCAAACAGGACAACAGTTTTTGAAGAAAAATGACAAGATAAACAAAAACCTTTAAAAAATTGAATTTTGAAAGTTATTGTAAGCTATTGTAAACGACCTCAATTAAGCATAAATAAGCGTGCTCGCTCGCTTTACTCGCTCGAATTCCGACAAGAAATCAATTTCAAACCGGTTTTTCTCGACACGGGGAGTAAAAAGGCTTTAATATGATATATCGCTTGAATCTCTCCGATGATTCTTCGTAGTAGGTAATTTTGCGTGGAAAGCAAAACAAAAACTAAAACACACGCGAATACAAAGTTCATCCACATTTTTCAAATGGTCGGAACAATAAAAACCATATGACACGGAGTCGAAGAAGATTCGCATCACTTCCGATACAAAAATATGTGCCAAATTTTTAATGTAGAAAATTACCTACATATTTCATTTAAAAAAACTATTTTAAGCGAACGCGCAATTTATTGCTTTCTTCTGAATAAAAAAAGCAAAGATCCAAAAATATCAAAAAAGCTCTCCGAAAAAGATATTGAAGTTGTTATATTTTTTATTTAAAAAATCACAAAAAACAGCGTGAGTTTGTGGAAAGCAATTAATTGTACATAACCGAAAATATTAAAAGATTTTCAATCAGAGTAAGAAATGCTTACTTCATTGATAAATTCCGTGCTGCGGTAACCAAGCCGGCAAAGAATAAGCAGGCAAATAAAAGTCCGTCTAAGATATTTTCGTCAAGCGAAAAGTTTTCCGTTTACAAAAAAAAAACAGGTACAATCCAGATTCGACCAACTTTGTCTTCGCAGGCATATGTAATACCTCTACACTTAATCTAGTTGTTAGTATGAAAAAGTTCCGATTTGAACACACTTGCTATTCATAAGCGTAACTATCAAAAAAATTTTCAATCATTTCGTAATGAAATTAGTCAAAAATTGCGATTATACAACCGCATTTGACATTCTGATATAGCTCTAAATTGAAGTTCTTAAACAATAGGTAGAAATAAGCAACTTCTTGATTATAATCAATACTCATTTTTAGTATCTTTGAGTAACAACTCCGATAGACAGGTCGCTAGAAAAAGTTACTATAATACAGAGGTCCCCAGTAGGTAATTACATTAATTTCGCGTGTAATAATTTGAAACCTAAACTGCGTATAATTTATGCACTTTAATTATCTCGGAAAACAATGAATTAGCAAATTTTTCATGATGAATGGTAATTATTATACGGCTTATATGAAGCAAATGGCCTGTTTAAATTTATTTTATAATTTCGAAATCATCAATTGGGTTTACTATTAATACTAAAAAATGAAATTGCTGGAAATTTTTAATCTTTCCACCTTCAGATGGTGAAGGGGGGGGGGGGTGATCACAATTGATTGGCTAAATACGCAAAACACTTTGAAAAAAATCTGAGACATGCTTCTGAACGTTCACCTTCCTATTAATCAGTATTTTTGCGAGCTCTAGACATATTTTCTTAAGGGATCTGGATATTTTTTGGGACCCGTGTATCATAGTAGTCCCGCCTTTGCTTTTACACGTATCAGACTGGCTGGTTGGTCTTCATTCTTACAATTTCAAACTTCCTCTAAAGACGAAAATTGGCAAAGATTCAAAACAAGGTAACCAAACGATTGAAGCAGATGTTTTTACCTTGTTATTTAACACGAAAATCGAAGTTGATACTGAAGCGTTCAAAGCCATTCTTTCAGTTGTGTTGTTAGCACGAGTGGTTTTAGTTTCGAGAACCACAATGCGAACATCTTGGTCAATGGCATCCCCTACATTCTACAGTTGTGGGACACCGCAGGCCAAGAAGACTACGACAGACTACGACCCCTCTCATATCCCATGACTGTTAGTAAAATCATGAATGACACTCCTCTAGTCCGTAAAGCAAGCTAATGTAAAGTTATAATTTGATTAAGTTAGACATTAAAACAAAAAAATGTGTTTAAGTATATCAAACGGGTAGCTTGAGAAATTTAAAATCATTACTTTAATATTTCAAAGCGTCAAAACTGCAATTTTTTTTACAATCTTAGGATAACTCATCATATATGACTGATTCTTCGAACTATTCTTTGGGCTATTTTAAGACTTTTTAAGCTTGTAAAAATCAACATCTTGTTTTGTTTCAGCATATTTTCCTCATGTGTTTCTCATTCGATCGAATGGACACTGTGGCCAACCTCAAATCAAAAGTAATTACCCAATTATTTCAAATACTTGATTGAAAGATGCAATTAACCTGCAGTCACTTGAGACTTGCAATCACTTGAGCTGAGCTGACTTATGTTTCAGTGGGAGCCCGAAGTTAAACATCACTGCCCTAACACTCCAATTTTATTGATCGGCACCAAATTAGACCTCAAGAAGACAAATAAAGAGGAAATTAAAAAATCAAGTTCTATTGTCACAACAAAAACGGTAAATTTTGATACTTTCAGCTACTGAGAAAATTATTTTCAACGAGGAATTTTTTTATTGTATTTCTAGGCTAGTTTTTTTTACACAAGTGGTTTTTCGAGCTAAATCACGCATCCCAAAGAAACACAAAACGGGACGTAGTGTGATATACACGAAGCTGCTAAGGCGAAACGGATTTAACGAAAAAAAGTTAACCTAAGAACGCAATCGAGTAAAAAAACTGCCAATAAATTTTAAAATGAAAGAAATCCTTCTATCTAGACTCTGATAGTTCAAAAAAAGGTGAAGGTTTATTTGAAAAAAGAAGAAAATTTGCAAGGAAAATTAGAAAAAATAGCTAACAGCAAGTTAAAAAGTGTAAAAGAGCAAGAAACCCGACAAAAAATTGATTGAACATTTTTGTATACCTTTCAACTTTCGAATTTCAAATTTTTCGTCTTCCGAAGAGCAAAATATATCAAGTTATACTTCAAGAACAATTTATGATTGAGAATTTTTTGATAAAATAAACCCAGGTTAGGACAACTGGATCAATGGGTAAATTTTTTATTCCGCTGCGAGATCCAAAAATTAATCGATCACGTTTTTTCGCGCCATTTTTGCTTTCGTAATAGGAGAACTAATTATTCCTTTCTTTGATCAAATTATCTTGAATTGAACTCAAAGTGTGCGTATACATAAGTGCATTCATAAATGCATTAAAATGTATGATGCACGTCTGTAGTTATTAGAGACTTTTTCAAGACCTATATAAGTTAAAATGAATTCTTTTACACTTAAATTATGATTCAGAGGCGATTTGTGAACAAAGAAAAACGGGTAAAAAATGAAAACAAATTCCGCGAAAAAAGTCATCAAGCCCTCAAATCGGAAAATTTAATATATTTTTGAAATCGAGTACTAGTTATCTATACCACGAGGGTCTGGACATGATTCACAAATCTTACAACAATTAAAAACTGATGCCAATCTTTTCATTATCAAACTGCTTGAATAAAATCTTAATCCAACCAACAACTTGTGTCCCAGTGTTTCTTTTACACAAGTTTTTCAGAGAAGAAAGTCTAGTTCCCGATTACAATTCACTTGCTGATCGCAGCTTAAAATTCGTTTAATATAGCCAACAGGCAGTTGAAAACAAATCAATAAACGCAAGGAAAAAAACTGACTTGTTTTTTTTTTGCAAAAACTTCAACTTTCGAACTTCAAAAAACAAAACGTATATCAATAACGCTCTTTGAATTTCAAGAACATTTGATAAATGACCTTTTTGGACAAAAAAAAACAACTTGAGAACACGTTCAAATCAGCCTCGAATTAGCAAAACTTCGGCTAGGTCAAGGATTCGATCTGCAACCTACTGCAGTCAGGAGATGTTGAGTTTCACCGACTAACCACTTAGCCATGCACGCTTAACCACCGACAAACACTAGTCACGAATAAAGCAGCTATATTCGCTAATAAATTGTCAATGCCATTCAGTAAAAGTGGCACCAAATACAACTAGACACAATTTTGCAAGAAACATATGGAATATAACAAACTTTTATTATTGTTATGTTGTTTGAAACAAATAGCTTTTTTCGGTTCATTTGATGAATCAAAAATGCATCAACTGTGTTAACTTATTACTACTTGAATGTCAAAGCCCATGCTATCAAAAGGCTGTAAGGTGCCCCAAAAGTGGCACCAATATTTGCGACTTGGGTTAGAAAAAAAGAAGGTTCTTAATAATACACTCAACTGACGCTAGTGTAAAAATGAATCAACAGGTAAATAGGGGATAAATTTTTAGCTGATTTGCCATTTGGCCGTGAATAACCAACCAAAGCACTTTCCAGAAAAGCTGTTCACTGGAAAAAAAGCCTGCTACGGGTACCCGATTATAAAACACTTGGTGTTTCATGTTTGGTGGAAACTGAAATAGATGCCAATAACTAACTGATGTGCCTGATTGAATTTTTAGGGCAAAGCTTTGGAAAAGTCCATAGGAGCATGTGGCTACGTTGAATGTTCGGCCAAGACAAAAGAAGGAATCACTCTCGTATTTGAGAAGGCAGTCACATCTTGCATTAGCAAAACCATAACACCAAAAAAAAGGCCTTGCAGAATTCTATGAACATGTCATAATTATAATTTCATAATTGCTTCAATTCCTAATTTGTACGTATCAATACTTAGCAGCAATCAATTAAACGTTTACATAGCAGCTTGTTTTTCATCCAACCAAGAGGAACTCATTTCTTAACATTTAACAAAACTGCTCGTATCAGGGCCAAGCCCTGAATGTTCCAACTACATTTTAACATCAATGGAGCAGTGTTCGCATTAAAAGACTTGATGAATTTTTCAAAAACAAAAATTGAGATTTTTAATCCTAGCCCCACACGCCGCAGTAAGTACAAAGTGATAAATTTCGCTCCTAATAACGAAAAAATTATGACGAATAGCCCTGCTTCAACCAATTAGGAACGATTTCTAAGACGGATTATATCTTCGCTTACACTTTAATAGCCTGAACTATATGGCGCGTTAATTGTACCAAATTGGCAATTTTTACACCACCATAACTTTACAAAAATTGATCACAGGTGGAATATAATTTTTTAATTTGAGCTCAGGAGAACATTATTGAACATGATTAAAACATTATTCAACATGTTTCTGTAGTAAAAAATCTCAACTTTCGCATTTCAAAGAAAAAAATTGATGCCCTTAAAGCTCTTTGAATTTCTAAAACAATTTAAGAGCAGCACTTTTTCGACAAAATTGACCCAGTTTGAGACAACTGGATAAACAGTTAATATTTTTTTTTCGCTGAGAAATCTGAAAATTAAATTCCATTTTCGAAACTAGAAGTAGATCACGTTTTTCGTGACCTTTACACTTTCGCTGTTCGATACTGAAGTTTGCCTTCCTTTTAACAACGGAAATGAACTGAACATAACAACAAATCAAAAGTCAAACCGCTAAAAAGTAAATTTGAGCCTGAACAAACTTTTCCTGAAAAACAATCATCGCGATCTATATAAGAGTCTAAACTACGTTCATCAACTCTTAAAAAGGATTATAGCTGAATCACAGTTAGATTTGGAAGCAAATAAGAGCAAGGAGGCAAAAAAATACCAAATCAAAACAATAAATTTTGTATATAACTATGTGAAGGCAATCGACATCATTTACCTGATAAAGAATCAGTGCATACACCTCTAAACTAATACCTCATTAACTCAGTACAATTAAAACCGAGTCAAATTTTTCTTAGATCAATTCCAAGAAAAACTTTTGACGCAGGATTATTTAACATTGCACAAAGTTATCTTTACAGAAACTTTAGCATGGTTGATAAAAGATTCTTTTGTACACAATATACAATTTTTCAACCTATGATGAACGCTTTTTAGAAAACATTGAAGAGTACTGAAAACGGCAATAATTCCGGAACAATATGAAACTTGAAAAAGCATTAGACATCATTGTCGCTGGCTGATGTTTCAAATTATATAAATTAACTTTTTGAGACAAATTTATTGCTCCAGTTTACAAGAAATAGCTTGAGTCGTCTAACATATTGCGCCTTTTTTTGTTCAAATCTGATATTTAATTTTGTCGAGCAAAAAGTTAGGAGATTTACCTCCTAACTGAAAAAACAACGCTAGATAGATTGCAAGACAGCTCTTATATCAGTGCGACCCCCTGAATATTCCGACTGCACTGTGAGCCAATAAAAAATAATTTTTTTGGTTGAATAATTGACAAAATAATTGAGAAAGACAAAAAACTTTTCTTTCAGTTTTTCTTCATTTCATCCCCCAAACGCAATGTTATTTACTAAGGGTGTGTTTAGCGTCTCGTATTGTGTTATTAGGATTGAATTGCTAGCCTCAATTTAATTTGGAACACATTAATTTGCCTCTTACGCGTCTTCGAAGAACGCAATATATCGTAATTACTAGCACAAACTAGCAATTTTCAAACCCCCGTAAGGTTACAAAACTGCTATAAAGTAAAAATATCTGTTTAAATTTGAGCTTAGGACAACAATATCTTTCAGATGGTTGAAAAAAAATCCAGCAAATCCGCTTAGTTGACAACTAGAAAATTGACTGAATAAAAAACCAACACGCATAAATATTCCGCTCTTTCTTCGAAAGTCGTAACAATAATGACCGCGATGTGTGATTTGTCGACCTAATGCGCAATATTTTTGACAATTTCCCAATGCATTTGAATTGACTCTAAAAATTGATAACTAAAATACATTATGTACAAAGAATGCAAACTATTTATTGCTGTGATAAAGAATTTAGTTTTGTGATAATAAAATAAATGAGAACATACCAAAATATGAGCTCAAACTTTGCGAATTTGCCCGACGAGTAAAAGAGGAGTTTCTAATTTGACAGTTTGCGAACTTTTATCAAAGTAATTTAACGATGATAAAAATTTCGGAAACAAAATATCGAGAATAAAAATTAAAGAGAATTTGGTCACTTAGAATTTGGTGATAGAAATAGAAGCGGAATCATTCCCAGTAAACATCCGGCAACAATTCCAACGGTGCGACCAATGGCTGCTGCCATCCGAGTAGAAAACATATCTGCTTGTTTCGGCGAAATTTCAGGCGTCGAAAGTCCAAATCGGACAGCAAAACCTTCAATATAACCAGCTAACGCAAGTCCAAATACATCTGAAACCAAGTTTCCCCACGCTGCCGCCGCCATTGTAGATATTCCAAGCATCAACCCAATTTTGTTGTCAATTAGGTCTCCGGCTAGGATCATGACTAAATTATCCACAAATCCGAACCCAATAAAAGGAATAATATTATTCACTGTGATTTTCTTCAGCACAGCAGCTGTTGGAGCAGGCTCGTTCTCCTCCTAAAGTTAAGTAAATTATGTAAAACAGTACACAAACTAACTCCAGTACAAATCAAAGCTCAAGTTTGCACCACTTGACTAGCCATCGCAATAAAAAGCACGATTGGAGTCCACAAAAAATTAATAGGGCGGAGCTTTGTAATTTAGAAAGAGAACCCATTGTCTCTCACAAAATGTAAAGATCTTGATGAAACTTTTGTGGACGCAAAAAAATGATGACTTAATTTTCCAAATTCCAAAGCCCCAGTATAAAAAAGGGGCGAAGCGGAGCTTCGCATCACTGGCGATACAACACAAACATAAAAAGCACAGCCAACTGACAGTTGGAAAAAACTAATGAACGCAAGGAAACAGAAAAAAACTGACTTGTTTTTTTTTTAAATTCAACTTTCGAAACAAATGCATGCCATGCCCTTAGAGCTCTTTGAATTAGACAAAAAATTTATGATTGGTGCTTTTTTAATAAAATCAAATGTGAGAAAAACGGATCAACAGGTAAAACTTTTATTTCGCTGGGAAATCTGATAATTAAATTCCATTTTTACACAAAGGAAATAAAGTGAACTTTAAAAAAAGTCAAAGCGCGAAAAATCAAAATTGAAAGTGAAAATTTTTCAAGACTTGTTCCTGAAAAAAAACCGCCAAAAAATCACCAAGACCTATATAAGTTCATTGCTCTTAAACATAGGAAGTCGAAACAAAGAAAAATGTTTTAAAAAATCTAGGTCAATTATAACGTATATTTTCTTAAGTCTCAAAAGACTTTTTTCTAGGCAAACATGGCAGACATTTGAATAATAATTTGGCAACGGAACAAAACTTACGAAGATGAAATAAAACCGACAAACCTTGAGCCGAAAGAAAAAAGATTTTCTTAAAATGATTGAACAATTTAATAAAAAAAAACCTTTTAAGCTTACGGTCCCGCTTGAAACTAAAATGAAAAACACTTGCAAATACAATTAAACTTGCTGACAGCACAAGAAAAATCCGTGACGTGGAGACGAAGCCGAGCATCTTTGAGTAGACAGTAGTTGAGCCGAAAAAAACTTTATTGAAAAAGTCCCCATTCCTCAAGTCCCCATTCAAATAACATTGAACTACACTTTCACTTTCAACTACGATGAAAGTTATTTACAGCACAAGCCGACAATACTTGAGCAAAAAATTCAATTTTCACCGGGAAAAAATCAATAGCATGCATACTGAAAAAAAAATAAAGTCCGAGCGGGACTCGGACCCCAGACCTTGGGGTGCATAGGCGACCTCGCTACCTCTAGGCCAAGTGTGCACATACCTGGAAAAGTTGTTAAGCTCCAATAATTAAGCAATTAAGAAATGCCAGTAGGATTTGTAAAAGCTATTTACGAGAAAATATCTAGTTCCGATTACAAGACACTTGCTTTCGCAAGTGTAATAAACTCATAAAAACAATAACCTGAATAATCAACTGTAAAAAAATTATAGAAAAAAACGAAAATTGTAAACAAAAGTAATGAATTCGAGAGAACCGAAAACAAAACATTTTTTAAAAGAAAACTTGGGTAATTCAAAGAAAAAATATCATCGTAAACCTGAATGAATTTCAGGACTCTCTTATGATTGACAATTTCTTGATAAATTTATCCCAACTTGAGAAAACTGTATCGATAGGTAATTTTACTATTCTACTGAGAATTTGAAGCATGTCAATGAAGATGTCAATGAATAAACGTGAAAATAACTAAGAAAACCTAACAAAGCGACTGATTAAACTCTAAGCAGTTTCAAAAAATATATGTATATGGCTTTAAAAGTCTCTGCATTTCGATCGTCATAATTCGAACAAACTTCGCGATATTTCTAACAAACTAACACCTATGGGAAAACTAAACCAATAGAATTTTTTTCTGCAGCTGGGATATCTAAGAATCCACTTTTACAATTAAGTTTCTTTTTTTTTTACAATTTTCACTTTTTGTATTAAACAGCTTTAATTAAATCTCTTCGAAAATAGAAAATTTACTACCTGTTTTTTCAATTGAACTCAATCTCACAATTGGCAGGGTAGTTATTGAGAAAAAAATTCCAAAAACAGTCAAAATTCCCAAAAATGGACTTTTCCCAAATCTTTAACTGTTTTTCTACATAAAATACGGCATAGACCGCTTGTCCAGTAAAAATTCCAGCAACTTTTCTTTCGATTGAACCTCTCATCTCAAATTTGGCACGGTAGTTTTCGAGAAAAATAACCAAGTTTCTAAAAATGTCAAAATTTCAAAAACTGGGCTTTCTCGAGTACACAACTGTTTTCTATCAAAAATACGGGGTAGTCACCTGTTCAGGGAAGGTATCCAGAATATAATTTTACCGATAAACCTTTAATCAAATTTGGTAATGTAGTTTTCAAGAAAAGGTTTCTCAAAAAAGGTCTTTCTCTTAGGCCATGCCGTTTTTCTTTAAATATAGGATGTAGCCGTATGCAAAGAATATCTTACTTTGTTATTTCGATTGAACCCTTAACCTCAAAATAGGCAAGGTGTTTTCGATAAAAGCGATCAACTTTCCAAAAAAACTACAAAATATCAAATATTGAGTATTCTTAGGACCACATCAGTTTTTCTTTAGAAAAATAAGTGCATTCCACAACCTTTTTTCCACTGAACCCTTCAACTGAGATATGGGAGGATAATACTTAAAAAAATTCAAAAACAGTTTAAATTTCAAAAAACTGGGTTTTCCCCAAGTTCATAA